TGCACAGCCCAAAGTGGGGAGAGCAAGAGGAAGCCCAGCTCCTCCCTGAGGTCTGGGGAGTTTTAAGTCTTTGAAGGGTCTTCCTCCACTAATTACAGGTTGGTCCACTTAAAATAAAATAAAATAAAAAAGAATGGCTGGTTGGCCCACAGCTATTGCTTAAACATGTCCTAATCAGATCTTGAACTTCCTGAGCCAGTCAATCAGCATATGGGCCCTACCTGAGGGAGAAAAAGTCCACAAGGAGTGTGTTTCCAGCTGTGAGGCTTTTGTCTCAGGTTGGGAAGGTGAGTTGGCAGCCAGCCATTTTGGGAGTTCACCATCTTTGTTATCTAGCCAATGGTCCCTCTCCCTGTCTTTCTACCTACCAGGAAATCTAACTCTTCATCCCTCAGCTGGGGTGGGGATTGATTCCTATTATTACATCTGGGGTATGCTGAGGACTTTAGAGTTTGAACCTTACCTGAGCCTCTTTACACCCCCACCCTTAGAAAGACCGTCGTGTCCATTTCAAAGCTGAAGAAACTGAGGCATCATTATATTTACATCTCAATAAGGATTTTAAAGCTACTCAATGGTGCAGCCTTGAGTTAAACTCTAGCCTCACAAAAATGCCTCCCCTCCCCCTTGGTTCCTAGGGCTTTGGCACTGTCCAGTAGTTAAATAGAATCAAGGGAAATTTGTGTGGAATGGGTCAAATCAGTGAAATTTGGTTAATTTGTATTGCTCAAAGGGCCTTTAGAAATATGTTTGCAGACATTGTCAAAACTGTATGTTTTAGAACAGTTTTATTAAAGTTCAAAAAGAAAATCTCCATAGCAGCAAACTGTAAATCCTGCTTTTTAAAATTACAACAGAAAGGACCTGAGTTCAGTTCCCAGCATTCATGTCAGGTGACTCACAACCATCTGTAACTTCAGTTCCAAGAGGTCTAAAGCCCTGTCCTAGTCATTTGAGGCTCCTGCACTCATGTGTACGCACACATACATGTATACATATAAATTTTTGAAAAACCCTGAAAATAAAACATACGATGTCTTCGCTCTGGTGTAATTCTGATAGGTCTGCCTTTATATGTTACTTAGCCTTTTTCCTTCGCTGCTCTTAATAATCTTTCTTTATTCTGTATGTCCGGTGTTTTGATTATTATGTGGCAAGGGAACTTTTTTCTGGTCCAGTAACTGATGGAAGCAGAAGCAGAGATCCCCAGCCAAGAACTGAGGTAAACTCCTGGAATCCAGTTTCAGAGAGGGAGGGCATAATGAGCTAAAGGGTCAAGACCACACTGGGGAAACCCACAGAAACAGCTGACCTGAGCAAGTGGGAACTCATGGACTCCAGTCTGACAGCTGGGGAGCCAACATAGGACCAAACCAAGCCCTCTGAATGTGGGTGTCAGCTAGGCAGTCTATGGGGCCTCTGGCAGTGGAACCACGATGTATCCCTAGTGCACAAATGGATTCTGGGAGCCCGTTTCCCATGGAGGGATACTCTCTCAGCCTAGATACACAGGGGAGGGCCTAGGTCCTGCCCCAAATGATTTGACATATTTTGATGATACCTCGTGGAAGGCCTCACCCTCCCTGGGGAGTGGATGGGGGATGGGAGGGAGAGGGAATTGGGATTAATATGTAAAATAAGATGGTTTCTAATTTAAATAAAATCTATATAAAATATATGTATACTTTTTGGGGGGGAAGCAAGCAGTATGTGAGAGAAATACCATGTGACAGAGCTTGGGTGGAGGGCTATTTTATTGGGGGAAAGTGAATGGGAAAAAAGAGGAGGGGAGAGGAGAGACCAGTCTCTGGGACAGGAGTGGCAGAAGCAGGGGGGTAGGAGGGAGAAGAGAAGGAGAGACAGAGACAGACAGAGAAGCAGAGAGAAAAAGAGAAGAAAATGAGAGGTGGGCAGGGCCCTTTTAAAAGGGAACATAGTGACTGTGCACAGGTAGTGCTCTTAGCGACTGCAGCTGAAGGGCGTATCCTGTCAGAACCCCAAGGGCAGGCCATTACAGGTGCCTGAATGCTAACACTCTCCACGAGCAGCAAGAGCTCTTGACTACCAGACCGTCCACCTGACTCAGGTAAGTGAAGAACACTGAACAACCTTGCTCAGGAAGAATTGTTTTCTTCGCTTTCTGGATAGCAGAGCCGCCACTTAGAAAGGTTAAGAGAGACAAAGGCATACAGCTAAAAAGTGAATGGGCTAGTGTTTGTAATTGGCTCCACTTAGCCTTCAAGTGATTAAACCCCCATTAAATAGGGATGGGGATAGGAACAGGAATGAGGAAGCAAGGATGAATCTGGGATGGTTCCCAAATTGCCCACTGTGACTTTGAACTAGATTAAATCATTTCCAGGAAATGGTGAGGCAGGCATTTTAAGAGTAATGACCAAAAAAAAAAAAAAACAGTCTAAAGATAATTTTAAAATACTGGACAACATCAGACCTGGCTTGTTTCCACTTTAAAGAGTGACGTGAAGATGACAGCCTGTGCTGTCAGGCTCTCCTACATACTTTTCCTTTTTTTAAAGTTGTGTTGTAATCTGCACAGCTATTTATCCATTTTTCAGGCCCAGATTCCTAAATGCCTTTGTAAGAATTCCAGGCCCAGTGCCTGGAATGCGACGTGCTATAAGACATGAGAGTTAGGAAGAGTCAGACAGGAACAGAGAGAAAGTTGATAGAAGAGCGTTCTGTCTGCTGGGCGTAGTCTGGACCTCCCAAGTGCTGCTGATCGCACCAAGCTCCCCTTGATCCCACTCCCCAGGGTCAGCCTGTAACTCCAATCATGGCTATCAAAGTGTGGCAGAAGTTGTTCTTGGTTTAGTTCCTTGTCTATGAGATGGTCTGCGATCTCTTTCCTGAAACAGGTGGAGCATTCTTTTCTTGGAGTGGGGGGTTGGAACCAATGCAATGGCTAGTCTTTATTAGAGAGAAATCCCCCCCATCACATTCCGAACATTTAATGCAGAGAGGCTCAGAGAGCCAGGTGGTGAGGCACCAGTTTGTAAGGGGTTCCACAGTTTGGGCATCGCCAAGTCTCACCTTTGTGCAGCCAAATCCAGATGGCACTACAGTTGTCCTTGTCACAGATGCAGTCCACTATTTGCTTATTGGTGATGGATGGGACTAAAGTGGGATTTTGCTTGGTGACAGAAGCTGCCTTTGGAGGTAGCACACCATGTGAATCTAGTCCCTTCTCTTCTGCTGTCACGATCTCCCTTTCCAGCCCCGTGGCCTACTACTCATCAGTAGGAACACCACCTCCAGAAGCCACGGTGCCAGTTTCAACTGCCCCATGGGCAGCCAGATTGCCCACTCCACAAGTAACCTGGAGCATCGCTCCAGAGTCAGCCAGTAGAGCTTTCTCAGAAATTGTCTTTACTTTGTTTCAATTGTGACATGACAAGCTGGTTCAAGTCCCTGCTGTGTCTTCTCTGCTATGATGATGGACTAAAACCTGTAGGTTCAATGAAAGTCTTTCTCCTCTAAGTTACTTTTTGTTAGGGTATTTTGTCTTAGTAAAAGAAATGAAACCAGGAAAAACAGCAACTATATAGTATAAAGGTTAACCTTGATTGACACCGTGTCTGGATTCAGAATCACCCAGGGGACATGTCTTTAGGTGTTTCCGTGATGATGTTGCCAGAAAGATCTAAGGAAGTGTGTAAGGGGAGGTCAATGAGTAAGAACCGAATGGTTCTGTCATAATTATGATTATAGGCTGAGGTGCCCATTCAACATATCAAAGCACACATGGCCTACCAGGTTCTCTCAGCATCCCTGGGTCTTGACCTGTTTCAGAATCTGGTTCTCACACCCCACCCTCTACCCTGAACTCTCCAGACCTGAGACTGGGCTGCCCTTCCCCCAGAACACTTCCCTGTATAATTCAGACATTTCCATCTCCGTTGCCCGCCCATTTTGGACATTTGACCTCCTGGCTGCTGCAGCTAGCTCCCTGCTTCTGATTTTCTTCCATTCCTCCTCTCCCTGAATGGCCCAGCTCGGTATGGTCCTGTCCGCTCTGGACTCTCCCAGATGTCTCTGCCTCTGCCTACACTCTCCCTTTTATCCACAGTAAACTTTCTCCTCCACCATACCAAGGAGCAATCACGCCCTTCCCTTCCCTTTTTATTTCTTTTATTTTTCCATTCGAGGGCAAACATGTCTATTGCTCACCTTATGCGTATCCGCTCTTCAGATACAATTGCAAAATACATCAAAGAGAATCGCTCGAAGCCTTGAATCCTTTGGCCACGCCTGACCTATATATATTCCAGAACCTCAGTGGGAGAAAGTCTGGACTGTACACAGAACCAGATAGCTCCGTCCTGCAGCAAAATCCTAGCTATCCTGGCATCTCTAGAAGGTGACTGTCCGATTCAGAACATCGCTAGAACAGAGAAACACACAGCAGCCACGCAACCAAAGCCACACAGTTTTCATTAAGGTCGATTGTTCCTTAGTTCTCAAATCACCGCAGTCAAGCCCTAGAAGGTGACATGCTCCTGCATTGCCAGGGTGCTCGGCTCAGGTGCCTGACCGGTTCACCTTCATCCCATGTCTCACGGGTCACCCCAGCAGTAATTCTTACCTCCTAGTTACTGTTGGGGCTGTCAGTCCCAACTCAAAGCAATTTGTTCCCTGGGGATTCCTCTGCTTCACTTTCAAGGCTAACATTCTTCCTAGCCAAGGGTCTTCTGGAACCTTGGAGACGACCAGCTCATGCTCGCTCATGCCTTAAAGGGAGTGAGATGCTTTAAGGGAAGTGATCCTTTTTCTCACCCCCCGACAGAAAATAACCCCCAACTGGGAAGAAGGTGTTGCCCTAGCCGGCCTCACCTTGAGTGTAGGGTCAAGCAATCCAGAGAAACGAGGCCTACTAGTAGGCTGAGACTGCCCACCAGAGGGGATGTGAGAAGGGTTGGAGATGGTGAACTGTGGGTACCTGCCCTGAGTGGGTGGACCGGTGGAAACAGGAGGCGCTAAGTATGGAGCTGGAGGACCAAGAGGGAGACTCCCCGGAGCCTACGGGAGCTGGGGTCCCTAGGGAAGCTGGCAGGGTGGAGGGGCCAGGAGTCTCTGAAGATGTAGGTGTGGCGAGGGCCTCTGAGGAGGCAAGACAGGTAGAGAGGCCTGACGTCTCCCCGGCTGTAGACACGTTGAGGGTCCCCGAGAGGGCAGTAAGGGTGGGAAGACCTGGAGTCTCCAGGGAGGTAACCATAGTGAGGGTCTCCGACGAGGACCAGGCGGAAATCCTGGAGGAGGGACGAGAAAGGATGGAGCTGCTGAGAATCCAGGAGGCAGAAAGTTGGGAGGAGTCTGCGCTGTCCGGGGACACCAGCGAAATGGGGGTCCCTAGGAGCAAAGTGCCAGGAAAGTCGAAAGGGAAGCAGAGGAATCGCCAGCGTGAGCCGGAGGAGCAGCAGCAGGGTCAAGAATGCTTCTCGGGGCTGGCTAGCCAGCATGAGGAGCGGTACTTAGAGCCCTACATGGAGGGGACAGTGCGGCGCTATCGCTCACGGACCGTGAAGCACAAGGGCTTAGAGGCCAGTCGGCTGGGCCGCCGCCTCTGCAAGAGTCAGGGCAAGTACAGCCTGGAGAGGAAGCCCAGCCAGAGGAACCAAGCTGAATCTTTGGCTTCCGGCCGCTCGTCCTTGGCATATCGCATATCCTTGCCTCTGACTCCTCGCTCGTCCCTGGCTGCTCGCTTGTCTCTAGCTACGCAGAAGTCTACCAAGCTGTCCCTGGATCCCCGGGTGTCACACTTTTCTAGCACCCTGAAGGGGGAAAGCTCCAGCTGGATACGGGAGCCACAGCTGGAATACCGTCGGCAGACCATCCGCTTCAGCGTCTGCCCCAGGTCGCCTCGCCGCCTGTCGCAGCGGTCTGCCACCCCCTGCGTCTCGCTCATCAGTGCCTTGAACGAGCTGGCAAAGATGGGTGACCCGGACCTGCTGGAGATGGTGGAGGAGGAAGGTAGGACCCCCCAGGCCAGCGCTGAACAGGCGCGTGAACTTTCTCCGCGAGCGGTTTCTGGGGGGACGTTGGTAGCTGTGGGTCCCTGTCCCGGGGACGTTCGCTGCCCGCAGCGTGGCGAGCCCCGCGCTGCGCCGGCCAGGCGGTGGGTGGCATTTTACGCCCCTCGATGTCCCCGGATGCACCTGAGGGGCCCCGGGACTAGCTACCTGTGACTCCCTAGGATATCCGGGCACCTGTCTTGGACCCCACTGACTCCGAGTGATTGGCATGGTGTGGCGCCCTGGCCAGGGGAACCCACTCTTGGAAGGTGGGTTTTCCACGGACAGCCTGCACAGATGGTGACCCTCCTGTAAGGGGCTGACCCTGAGGTCTTCCTGTCAGCTCTTTGCAGACCCTCAGACATGTTTTGAGACTGTGATTATGGGGTGAACAGACCTTAAGGCCTATCAGCTCTTGGGAACACGTGTGTGTGTGTGTGTGTGTGTGTGTGTGTGTGTGTGTGTGTGTGTGTGTGTGTGTGTGTGTGTGATGCCTTACTTCTGCTGAGGACACTAGTCAGTTTCTACTAAGGTATATTCTATCACTTTATAATTGGTTAAGCATTATTCCTAAACATACAGTTTTCCTGCTGAAATCACCAAGCTGCAATTCTCTTAGTAATTCTGGGTTTTTGTTTGTTTGTTTTCTTTTTCACATTATTTAAATATAAAAGGTGTTCGGGTGTTGGAAGAGGGGAGGGTGAAATCTCTCACTCCGTAGCCCAGCCAGACTTCAAACTCATGGCAGAAATCCTGTTTTAGACTGCTTGTTGAGATTAAAGGCAGGGGTATTAAAAACCAAATCGTTAGAAGATACAAGTGTAGTCTTGCTATGTGGTCTTAAGGGGACCAGGAAATATTGTTATTGTCTCCCACCACATCCTTTATTTTTCTTTTTGAAACAGAATCTCGCTATGTAGACCAGGCTAGCCCCAAACACAAATTTATCTGCCTGCCTCTGCCTCCCAAGTGCTGGTATTGAAGGCTTGGGCCAACATCACACTTCTCTCTTCCCTTTTGAAAACAAATTTTTTTATTGAGACATAATCTTCATCCCATAAAATTTACCATTAAGTATTACAGTTAATGGTTTCTGTGCATTTGGAGCCATGGACTCATTTTGTATCATTTTCATCATTTCAACTGATAGCCCTCTCTGTAGCCATTCCCCATCCCTAGCCACAGGTATCTGTGCCTCTTGTCTCTGGAGATTTCCTTATCTTGGATATTTCAAGTAAGTGGAACCATGAAGCTTGTGCTCTGTTTAAACTGGCTTCTATCTCTTGATATGTTTTTGATGTTCAGTCCCATAGTGAACCATTCCTTTTATTTGACAAGTGGTATTCCGTTGCGGAGGAACACCACACCCATTTGTTTGTCAAATCCTGGACAGAAAGCCAATTTCCCCCTTTATGCTACAATGAATAACACAGCAATGAACATTCATTTGTAAGTTATTGTTTAAACATTGTTTTTCATTTTTCTTGCACCTATCACAGGAGGTCTATGGAACATATAGCCACTCTGTTTTGACTATTTTAAGACGTGGCCACAGTTTTCTAAGTGTCTACATAGTTTTTCATCCCAGGAGTGATTCCCATTTCTTCTTTAAAGGAAAAATATAAAACGAGAATACACATGGATGTGGTATTCTCTGGGCAATAAAGGAAACCATTTCGTTGCAGCCACATGTTGATGAACCACTTCAGACTTACAGGCGTGTGCAGCTTGCTGTGGTTTAGTCTCGAGGTGAACCATTTACTGGAAGGTGTGGGGTTGGCGACCCTCTGGCATGAGGACACATGCAGCTTCTGTCCCCCTAAGAAGTTTCAGAACATTCCTGAAGCTCATCTCTTTTTGTCGCAAATGCCATTGTGGTGTATGTTTCCTCATGTAATAACGGCTATCTCTCTGATTTGGACGGAGGCAGGAGAAGAGTATTTTGATGAGAAGTCTGATGTCTGCATCCTGTCCATGTGTCTGGACCTGACAGCACAACACTCAGGGGAGCAGAGACTCAGCCGCAGAGTTCCTTGAACAACTCCTGTTTCTCTAGGCATGAAATCAGAAAGCTTTGGTGTGTTGGTCTGGCTGCCCATTTGTCATAGTTGCTTTTCTATGCTGTGAGGGGACACCAAGACAATTTATAAAAGAAGACATTTATTGGGGCTTACAGTTTCAGAGGGTTATTAGAGTCCATGACCATCGTGGCAGAGAACGTGCCAGCAACAAGATATTGGAGCAAGAGCTGAGGCCTTACATCCTGAACCACAGGCATAATGCAGAGAGAGAGAGAGAGAGAGAGAGAGAGAGAGAGAGAGAGAGAGAGAGAGAGAGAGAGAGAGAGAGAGAAAGAAAGAGAGAAAGAGAGAGGAGAGAGAGAGAAATGGAATTTGTGTGATCTTTTGACACCTCAGATTTCATCCCCAGTGATAAACTTCTTCTAATGAGGCACACGTTTCAATCCCTCCCCAAACAGGTCCACATGGACCACATTCAAGTATATAACCCTACAGGAGTTATTCTTATTCAAATTACCACACCATTGCCTATGCTTCTGTGACTGCTGTTGGCAAGCTGGCACTGGAAAAAGTAGATTAAAAGTTTAGCGTTGGAAATGGAAGTTTAAAAGCTGGGTGTAAAGTCATATAATTATAGCTATCTTAAACAGCGTATCTAATAAAACCTCCTGCCCCTTAGCCAAGAGGTTACTTAAGTTCCCCTACAGATGTTAGTTATTCTCAATAGGAAGAGACTAAGAAATCTGCTGTTAGGTGATTTCAAAAGCCTGCGTGGTGGAGCTTCCTCTTCCATACCAGGACACAGTCCAAACTTGGGAACACTAATCCATCTGTGGTCGGATATTGACCGAGACACTGTTTATGGTGCTACATGGCTGAGTCTTATTTTGTGCTGCTGGTAAGCCTGTAATGTGAGATGACCTCTTGGCAAACACAGGGGCTATTTGGGGCTCTGGTTTTGCAAGAGAACGTGTTCTTCATAAGGCGCCTTCCATGGAAACTGGTCATTCGGTCTGTGCTGGCTTTCCCTTTTAGTGTGTAAATGATGATTCTCCTCAGTGGTTGGTAGCACCCTTCACATCTCTGGCTTCTTGTCTGCAGCAAGTCTCCGGTGCTGGTGGCATCTCAAAGTGACCACTTGAAGCTAGCTCCAAGTTTGACCTCCTTAGACTCCCACCCCCTTTTCTTTTTTAACATTTAAAAAACTTGTTTTTATTTTTTTAAGTGGTTTCTAAATTGGTTTATTTTATTTTACATGCATGAAAGTTTTACCTGTGTGTACGTGTAGCGCATGCATTTATGATGGCCTCAGAAACCAGAAGAAGGCATTGCGTCCCCTGGGACTGGAGTTACAGATGGTTGTAGACACCAATGGGAGTGCTGGGAATGGAGCCTGATCCTTTACAAGAGCAGTATGTGCTCTAAGCTGCAGAGCCGGCTCCCCGTCCTCTTATTCTTTTTTCTTTCCTTGTGTGTCTGCCATGTGTGTTCAGGTTCCTATGGAGGCCAGAAGAGAGCTTTGGGTTTCTTGCATCTGGACTAACAGGCATTTATGAACTTCCTGTCCTGAGTGGTGGGAACCTTGGCCCTCTAGAAGAACACTGTTTACTCTGGACCTCTGAGACCTCATTCCAGTTCCAGGCCTCTTGTTTGGTGTGTAAGTGTGCCTGAGGTGTGAACACTTGTGTGTATGAGATAGCTAGTGTTGTGTGTGTGTGTGTGTGTGTGTGTGTGTGTGTGTGTGTGTGTGTGTGTGTGTAGTATATGAGGAAAAAGATCTATCCATCTCAATACTTCTGCGCAGAAGAAGATTGAACACATAGAAAAGTACTCATGAAGTGGTTTGGGGCAAGGCTCAGGAGGAGAATGTCTCAGCTGTCATAATGTGCTGTATCGGCTGGGAGGAGCCAGAGGAGGCAGTTTACTCCAGGGAAGGAGAGCATGAGATTAGAGAGGAAAGTGTGAGGGAGGATAGCAGGGCTTATGGGAGATTACGGGGCCTTATAGCATCCTTTGTCACAGCCTTCAACCCCATCCTGTCGAGGGATGTCAGAGGAGAGTTTGAAAGCCTTTATTCCACCGGATTTTATGTTAAACAGAGCAAAGGGAGTGGGTCAAGGAGGGTTTGCTGTTTAGTCTTCACCTTCCTCTTCATAAGAAATGGAGCTGTAAGTGCTCTGTGTACCTTGTAATACAAGGGTGCGCTTTGTAGTGACTCCGGGACGGGATCCTATTTGTGTGTGGCATTGTTCTTTGGAGTAATTGGGACAATTATTTGTCCTCAAGAAAAGAAAACCTTCCTGCGTTGGTGTCCCTTGCTTCTAACTTGGGAGGTAAATATTTTTCTCTGAGAGCCTTGATTCTGACCTTTCTGTCATAAAGCGTGTTGATTATTTTTGTTCCTTTAATAAAATGCCCAACAGTGGTAGTATATGAGAAGCAGAGTAGTATTTAGCTCATGAGTTTGGAGCTGAAGGACTAACGTATGTGCAGCTTGAGGACCTTCTGGCTATGCCACCTATGGTGGTGACTGGTGTCATTGCACCACACAGAAAGACACAATGCTGGAAAGACTTGGGGTGTGTTGTACTCTTTCTCTGACAAGTTGTTCTCCTAACGAATGGCTGAGCCTCCTCTAGAATTAAAGTAGTTTCTTCTAAATGTTATGCCTGGCTGTCCCAAATTTGTGTGACTAGGCTCTTATTATCCCCTCTCAACATTGGCATGACTGGAGCCAGACTTCTGGCATGTGAAACTCTGGGAGACACACTCAAACCATATCCAAACCATAGCACAAAGGCATGTAGAAACGATCAGTCTTCGATTTCTGTCACAAATCAAATGAGCTGTTTGGGACATTGTTCAATCTTGAGCTATATATTGAGGCAGTATACACTGGTAAAGCCCTTGCCATGCGGTTTTGCATATTATACACCTTTCAAAGGACGTTTTACTTGTTTTCCTCTTTTGCATGGAAAAGTCCACACTCAGAAAATCTAAGTGATGCAGTCATTGTTGGTTAATATTCATGTGCTTAAAAGTGTTAACAGCTTAAGAGCACCTCCTGCGACCCAAAGATATGAATATAAGAATAATTGTCAGAACTTCATTTGGAAACTTGAGCCAAATAATTGATAGAACTTCGTAAAGATCAATTAGGAATATAACATATCCTGATAATAGCAACAGCATCAACAAGGATCTCCTACACACCAAGCACACACATTAGCTCATTTAATGCTCACACGCCTTACAAGATGGAGACGGCATCTTGCCATCGATGTGTCAGCTGAAGGGGGAAGCTACGGATGCTGTGCTTGCTTGCCGTGATGCATTGCCTCTCTGTGTAGCATTACCCTTCATTTGTAGCCTGAGGACCAAGTGGGAGCCTGAAAGTGCAGTCAATACTGAACCCCGTTATCCTCTATCTCACGCCTACGCTTAAGTTTAATTCCTAAGTTAGTCAACATAAGGATGATCACCTACAGCTGGCAACAAAGAATGACTGTCTCCACACACTGTAATGAAGTTATGTGGGTGCAGTTTGTCCCTGTCCCTCATAATGATTAATGGTGTTGGGCTCAGCCTGCTGAGAGTCTTTATAGACTTGCACAACCTGTGAAGGGGCATTGAGTTTTGTGCATCACTGTTGACTGTGAGATCTTTTTTCTTGGCTGTATTGTTTCTCAGATTATGAAAACCCTATGTAACTGGTAGTTTTATATTTTCTACATTTTCAGAGTTTATGCTAACTCTTCTCAGAGGAATATTTGTTGGCGATGGTCTGCAATTTTATATCATTTTTGTTTTATATCATTTCTATTGAGATATTTCTCCAAAAATACATTGTTGTATAGGAAGTTATTGACTGGAGAGATACCAAGTTGGGGTCCTCAGAGATTAAGAATCAATTCTGTATGTGACATCTGCAGAGTCAGAAACTTGCCGAGAATGGTGTCCACATGATTAAGCACCTTGCCACTATGAGGATATCTGGGCGCTTAGAGAGTAATTTTATCTGCTTAAAAAGCGATGGAACCCTGGTGAATCCAGAAAATAACAGAAACAAATTATCCCTCACACAGAGAGAGCAAATAGGTATCTGTCCTTGAGTCCACTGAATGGTCTTTCACAGGACTTGGACTCTGTTTAGTAAGTGTGTTTATCAGAGTTATGTTTGTTTCCTAGTAACCAAGATTGTATTTTCATGATAATAATTAGTTTTTAGAGACCTCCATCGGAGGCTGATTTGAACAGGTTAGCTCCTGGAATATCTTATACATATTATTTCAGTAATTTTTCCTTGAATTCTGTTGGTTTGTTGAATTCCTGTTTCTTCCTTATGAAGAGTTTTGAACAAGACTAGTGAGCATATTGGATCTTTCTTTTTCTTATTTGTTCTAGGCTTAAGAGCCAAAGAAATAGACAATGCTCTCCAAATGACTGAGGTAAGTCCAATGTCTGTGTATGAGCTTTATTCTATATAAAATATAAAAATTAAGTCAAGGTTAGCATCTCAGATGTGAAACTGCTTTAAACTGACTTTTCTACTCTTACAATGCACTGTCCTCAATCTTCTCTGTCTTGCTCATCTTTTAATGTGAGACAGATTCCACATCTCATTTACTATTTAAATTTAAAATTAAATTGTTATTTTTATCAAGAAATCTATCCTTTGTGAATAATTTGGCTGTCAACCAGTTGCTTAATTTAAGAGTCCCATAAGTTCTAAAATTCCTTTAAAATTAAGTTTAAAATGGAGAGGAGTGAGTTATTGTTGTATTGGAAAGCAGTGATAAGTTTGAATTTACTTATTTTTATGGTTTTTAAAACAGTCCTTTTGTTCTTATTAAAATGTGTGTGTGTGTGTGTGTGTGTGTGTGTGTGTGATACACAATTGTTTTCAGGTGCCTATGGAGGCCAGGAGAAGACGTAGGAGTTACAGGTGGTGCTAGGAACCAAACTCAGGTCCCCCAAATGAGCAGCTCTGAAACATCACTGCATCCCTTCATTGTTTGTTTGTAGAGGCTACCATTTCAGAACTGTCTGATGGGTTAGTTTTGTTTGATATTTTGCTACAGTTTGATGAGCAAGTGGGATTCACAAGTGTAACTTAGGTCCGCAGAAGTAGTTTGTATATGCCTGTGCTAGCACTGTCTTTGTCCTCACTAAGACAGGGAGGCTCTTGTTTCCTGAAAATTCCACTGTGTAAGTTCTACAGCACATGAGCATATCCCTGAAAGCTCCCGAAGTATTCTTAATCCGTATTTACTGTTTGTCAAAACTCATTTGTCCAGAACCAACCAGTCACAGTGAGATGTTGGGTGTGATGCTCCCAAAAGGAGATATCTTAGTGTCCTGTGTGGATATGGACTTCAGGTCGCTTCTGTTAGCTGGGACCACTCTTGCTCCCATCCCTAGCAATTCAGAAGTCAGTTCTGTGGGGTGTGAACCACTGAATAACAAGTGGATTGGAAACCCATGTCCAATAAAGCAGAAATGCTTTAATTGCAAGTGGCTTGTGTGTATCATATATACACAGGGATTTTTCTTGCATTGTGTGTTTTTTTAACAACAAAAAAAAAGAAAAACGTGTCATCTTCAAAGCTACAAATTTTTAATAATTTCAAGTCAATGTCAAGAAGCCCAAAACTTCTAGTTAGTGTTGTGTATTCCCTGTTGTTCCTGCTCATAAACCTAAAAATACTGGAGCTCCTGGTTATTTTACTGTGGGGTAGAACTTTTTAAGCATTTTTCCTGTGATAGATTGTCTCATGACTTAGCAGAGCTTCCTCTACAATGCATTCTCGATCCCTCCCATCTCTCTTTTCTTTCCAAGTGTACAAGACACACACACACATATGTGCATACATACATGTGCATGCGTGTACACATACTTGCAACTTCACATGCCATTTTGGGTGGGAAAATAGAGTTCAGGTTTCATGGTGCAGTATTTTTACAGAGAGAATCTCACTGTTCTTGCTTTGGAAACTTAAATGCTATGGTTTTTCACTCGGGATATCCTTAACGGCTCTGTATCTCCCTCTCCCTCGCCCACCTTTTGTTATTGACAGAGTCAGTGCGCCAGAGACACCAGATTCCTAGTCTTTAAAGAGCAGCAGTTATCGGTAAGCAGTGACCAGTGCCTGACTGTACAGACACAGTTGTCCTTCCGTGGCCTGACCCTTAATCTCAGATTCTTACTCGTGGTATCTGAGGTCGTATTACTTTTGGGAAAAATTATTTAAGAAAAAATTACAATTACCATTGTCACCTTTATTAAGGGAGTCTAGTTCGGTCTTATGCAGGCTCCCCATTTGTCAGACCTGAGCCAGTGATCTCTCACTAGCTTGGGTCAGCTGATTCTGTGGGGGATGGAGTGGTACCCTGGTCCTGCTTTAAGAAGATGATGGGACAGACTTAGTAGACTTCCTAACAGAGGCCTTACCCTCTCCGAGGAGCAGATGGGAGGAGAGATTGGGAGAAGAGGAGGGAGGTGGAACTGGAATTGGAATGTGAAACTAAATAAATAAAAAATCTGAAAATTAAAAAGAAAACAACAAAAAAGCAACCATCAAAATTTAGAATTGGCACATAAAGGGTAATTAAATTGGCACATAGAGGGTGTCAGATTTCACTTTAGTAAGTCCTGGTGCTACAGAGGTTCCATCAAAACCACCCTGTGTTTATGGGGAGGAGGGTCTTGGGACTTGAACCCTCAGCCTTCTTACTCCATTACAGTATACTTCACTATAAATTAAACTTAGATCCAGCTCAGAAGCTATTGAACTTTAAATTTGATTAACTGTATGCATTTTTTAAATTTTGCTGAATAAAGTAAGTAAGGGCGATGTTTGGGAAGAAAGGAAATGGAATTCAGGTGTCCTCGGTTTCCACTAATACCGTCTTTGAGGGTCATTAGTAGCCATGTCTCCTCTGCACCTCCTGGTTGAGAGAACTTGGAGTACTTTCTTGTATTGTAGAGTGCACCTCAGCTCTTTCCTGTTGTGTTTCTCATGACTCAAACTGGAGGCGGAGAAAGTAAAAAAAAAGTTACCACAATTAAGTTATGTTTTAAACTGTTTTTCCTATTGTACTGTTTGGCTTTGTGTCAACTTGGCACAAGCTACAGTCATCCAAGAGGAGGGAGCCCAAATTGAGAAAATGTCTCCTTAAGTTCTGGCTATAGGCAAGCCCATAAGGCATTTTCTTAGTGATTGATGGGGGTTGGGGAGCCCAGCCCACTGTGGGTGGTGCCCCTCTGGGTTGGTGGTCCTGGGTTGTTTAAGGTTGAGCACACCATGTGGATCAAGCCAATAAGCAGCACCCAGGCCCCTGCACCAGCTCCTCCCTTCAGGTTCCTGCCCTGTGTGAGTTCCTCCTGACTCCCTTTGATGATGAACTGTAGTCTGGGAGTAGAAGCCAAATAAAGCCTTTCAAAGTTGAAAAAAACTGTCACCAGCTTTGCATCATGCCCTGGGCACATTGTGATGCTTTAGCCTTGATTAATTGGCTTAAAGTGGGTTTGCTCAGGTTTCTTCAGTAAGGTGTTCCTTTATGTTTCTCTTCTCCTGTACTGTGTTAGTCTCTGGGTCAGGATGCAGTGTGCTAGGGGTTATGCTCAATCTTAAAAACAGCTGAGAGTAATGACTGTGTTTTACTGTCACTAACAGGGCCAAAGCTTGAATCCAGGGCCATCTAGACAAATGTTCTACTATTAAGCCATGTTTCCCTTCCCCTGAGTTCTTCTGTGGCCTTTCCCTCCTCCCCCTCTTCCTTTCCTCTGCATCAGCTCATAGATATTTATGTTATATCTGTGTTATTAACTCAGCAGTGCTTTATTTCATTGCTTTGGAGAGCTTTTTAGTGAAGTCTGTATAACTTGGACACATTCCATTATTGTGTTCTGTTTTATTTTTAGTGTTTGTTTCATTCTAGATGCTACAAGATACTGCAAGTTCATCTCATACATTTCTTGCCTTAATCCTAGAATTAATCACCACTAGAGAGCACGTGTTTTCATTACAACCAATTGTCATGAAGTGTATCAGTCAAGATCTTCTCAGACATATTCAGAGTAGGATGGTTTAAGGGATACTTGGACAGACAGACTACCTTAAGCGCTGGAGATTCTCAACATACACAGGTATAACAGCCATAGACCCAGTGCTGTCTGTGGCACTGAGGAACAGAGGGAAAAGAACTGTTCCCATAACTCAGAGGAAAAAAAATCAAGTACATAAGACCCTCTTAAATTTAAACATGGGAAGGTAAGGAGGGCTCGAGGAAAGCATTAATTTATATGACTGTTTGCCCTTTCCTTTTTATCAAATATGAGCAATGTGGGCCTTTGAGTGATAAGGGTTTGAATTTTTTTTCAAGTTTTTTTCTCATAGCACTGAAGATTTAATATAGGGCCTTCGACCTGTTAGGCACAAGCTTTAAGATGGTGCTCATTCTCCCTGGTTGATGGCAAATAATTTCCTTGGTGCCTTAAATGATACCATAGTAATTCTGGTTGTTTTAGTGTCATGGTGGTTTGGAATAATTAATGCTGGGGCTTGTTGTACTTGGAGGAAGCAAACCCTTCCTCTGAGAGAACAATAGCCTTGTACTGAGACTGGAATATCTGTGTATAGCCAGCCGCCATAGAGTAGCTTTATTCATGTATGCCTGTGTGTTGGAATTTTGAACCCCAGAGGATTTGTGCTCATTCTCCATTGGTTGCTTTACAGCCTGAGAAGCGATTCAATTTGTTCCTGAGGAGGCGTCTTATGGTAAAACAGTGCTGGCTGCTGATGCCTATGCCTGAGTGTCTATAGTAACAGCCTAGTGCTTTCTGAATTGTGGATTCAACTCCATGGATGACATGCACTCTGGGGTCTTGATCACTTATTCCCAGCTCCCGGGCAGTAGTAGCTATTCTCAATCTTTCCCATTGGATGAGCCCACTTCCTAAAAGCATACATACAACACATTTACACACAGACAGTGTAAATAGGTTCAGAGGCTCACGAACCATCAGGAATATAAATCATAGCAAGCTAAATCCTACCTGGGTGTTGCTTTGTAGTAACTGGGCATCTGTAAGGACAACTATATACATATACATATATATTATACATAATATATATAAATATGTATATATATTAAAATGTGTTCGTGTCATGTTTTCATAAAAATAAAAGCATGAAAAGTATGACTATTTTAATAGCATCCAGCTGTCTGCAACAAAATGAATGCATTTTTTTCTGCTCCATTTAGCTCTAATCAATTTTTGTTAAGAATCTGAAGACTTGGGGCTGGAGAGATTACTCAGTGTTTACTAGAACTGGCTGCTCTTCCAGAGGTCCTGGGTTTGAACCCAGCAACACATGATGACTCACAATCATCTGTAACTCCAGTCCTAAGGGAAGGGAATCCTAGGGTTAGCTTTTCCAAACAATATGAACTCTCTTAAAAACATTAATTTTTTTAAAAAGTTCTACCATGCAAAACATGGTTGTCACATAACTGGAGAAGCATGTATGTTTTTTTTTCCTGATTTTGTCCTGTAGACTAATTATATCTCTCTTGTCAGATGGCTTCCATACACTTTGGTGAATTTTATCAGATATGTTAATTTTACAATGACGTGCAGCAGTGCCAGTGATTATTTTGTTTAGTTTTTCCTATTTTAAAACTGAGTTATAGCCAACATACAGGGACTCAGTTTTTCTCAGTTTTTTTTTTTTTTTTACATTCCTTTATAAAAGGGGAAAGGCTGTGGGTTGTTTTTTTAGAGACAGGCAGATAAATCAAGCCTTTCATTTGAATCACAGTACTCCAATACGTAATCTATTCTCCATAGATATTTTTGTTTATTCGTTCATTTCCCCAGTCTTACCATCATCTCCCTTGGGAGTGTGTTCCTCCTCTACCACCGCCGCGAGGAACCCGTAGGTAAATAGAATTAACTGTGTTCACAGACCACAGATCAAGCATGAGGTTTCTGTCCTGTTTGCGGCTGAGCACGACTTATCCCTGTTGTGGGGCCTCACAGCTGGTCTGACTGACCATTGCAAAACAGCACAGGCCCTGCAGGAGATGCTCAGGAGCTGGCAGACGTACCCCATGAGAAAAAAACCCAAGGGATCCAGCTCCCACCCTCCAGTTGCAGGAAGCCACTGGGAGACTTCCCATCAGACATTGCGTGATGCTGAGCCTCTCACAAGGGGCTCTCCCTCCAAAGGACAAAGTATTATTCTTTTCATATGAATGGCGAGGAAGGAATGCAAAACCAAACGCGAAATCTCTCTTTTTCCCTTTTTCCCCTGAAATGCTCAGTATTGTTTTGTTTTTTGTTTTCCGTTTTGCTTTGCTATCACGAAAGGGAAGGAATTCACGAGCTGGATGTCATATAAAAGGTGAATGTGTAGGGTTGATTATTAAACTGAGAAAATTCATAAAACCATAAAGAAAAGATGGATTGTGGCTCACTTGAGACACTGACGACAGACATTTGTACGACTTAGCCATGGTGAGGCCACTGGCCAGCTACCGGCCTCTGATTGCGCTCTGGAGGAAGCGTGTAACGCTGCACTAGACTGAGTAGACTAGTATTTAATTAAAACCACACATTTCTGTCTGAGCATGCATTTTACTGTCAGTGTATAAGTACATTCATCTTACATTTCGGCCTAATTGCAGCGTTTTTGTGAGAGCATGTGTCTAATGTGTTTAAGCATGCAACTAATATGTTTCAGCCTTTCCTGGGTATTTAATCCTCTCTGTGGAATTTTTACGCTATAAAAGGGACCTGATTTCTGTTATGTTTTTGTCTTGACTCACCGTGTTAAGTATGGAAAAAAACTGAAGTGGGGGTCAAATTGCAGCTACTCCCCTCCGTGTTTTTGTCTTCTGAGAATAAAGAATAAAGTAAAGTCGTGTCCCTCACGTCTTCTACAGTTCCAGAGAAGTGAACAAAGCAAAGATTCCATCTTCTTCCGAGACGGAATTAGACAGATCGACTTTGTCCTTTCCTATGTGGAAGATATGAAGAAAGACTCAGAACTAAAGACCGTAAGTACTTGTCTGGGAGGGGTGGGGAAGAAAGGTGGCTATTCTATAGGCAGAACTGACTGAGTGGCCTGTCAGCTAGCATTCTCTTCCTGAATGTTTGGAGATGATGACAGCAGCGGCATCTTTCTCTTCCCGTCCTCTTCGTCTCTCGTCATCCCTTCTCCTTCTCCTACTTCTCTATGTTACCGATATCTATTTCACACACCTTGCTTTAGGTAGTGTGACCCCACAAATAGAGAATTTATCTCTGAATCTAGGACAGTGGTTCTCAACCTTCCTAACGCTGTGATCCTTTAATACAGTTGCTCATGCTACGATCCCCAACCATAGAATTATTACATTGCTGCTTTATAACTGTGAACTTGTTACTGTTGTGAATTATAATGTAAATATCTGATGTGCATGATATCTGATACGTGACCTCCAAGAGGTCAGGAGCCACAGGTTAAGAACCACTGATCTAGTGTCTCCTCTAGTGTCTACTTTTAATATGCAGTTTCACCTTCAAAGTCTAATAAAACAATAGCTTTTGTGCTGTTCTCTAAACCTGACACTACCACTTATTACTTCCTGAGTTTGCTTATTCGTTTTTCTTTACTGCCTCTAAGACCACAAGGTAGGTTCACCGGGTCAAACTTGTTTTCTTGTTCCTTGTAAGGTAGGATGAGTGCTCAGTATTTGAAATGATGACTAAGAGACTTGCTCTGCATGTGCAGAGATTTATATGCATGTACATATGTGTGCAGGTATTTATTTATATGCTGAAATGTTATGCAGATAATAACTTGAAAACTGAGTGTTATCCCCAGAATGTGAACTTTTCTTAGCCTTGTATCTTTCTGCCTTGTTCCAGAAACCATCCACTAATGCTTCTGAAATTCACAGACAGTGGTCATCTTTGTGTGTCTTTGTGTATCTTCTACGGATAATCCCTTCACACCTACCTTGAGGAGTTTTGCATCTCATAATCATCTTCCTTTTCAATGGGGACAGTGCAGGCTGAGTACCTTGTTGACTTTATTCCTCCTCTTTTATCCACCCCCAGGCCTTCCCATTATTTCTGCCACTGTCCTCTTGGCCTCGCTGTCACCCTCTCCTCCGCCACTCCTTTCGGGTGACCCACGAACACAGCACATTCACAAGTGTTTATTTGGGCATTTGTCATTTCTGTTCTTCGATGCCTTTTTACCAATGCTCTTAGTTTTTAACTTAACCACCCATTCTCCTAATGCTATCACAGCAAGTGACTGTAACTCTGTAAGTGCATTCCATTGGTCTGTTTAACCCACCTCTCAAATATATAGTGAATTTTAATTTGATTGTACCCTTTTTTTTATTACACACAGACCAGAAAAGATTCTATTATATTGCCATATTTTTTCTTTCCTTCCTTTCTTCCTTCCTTCCTTCCTTCCTTCCTTTCTTCCTTCCATCCTTCCTAACCCTAACATAGATTGAAGTATTTTTATCTTTAATCATAACAATCTAAGACTTATTTTTCCTTTTGGTGTTGATTAATTTTATAGCTATGTAAATTTATAATTACATGAGTTCATAATTGATAAAACATCACTGATACATTATAAAATATGACAAGAAAAGAATTTTAACGTAAGAAGCATGCATTTCATAAATGCATTGAGCGATGAGATACAGGGGCTTGATATTGTTTTCATCATTTATGCATGAATAAGATTATTCAAAGGGTTTAGTTTCAGTTATATTCTTTTGTTCTTACATATCTTGGCATAAAGTAAGGTGATCTGGATCAATAGGCTGGAATTACTGAACTATGGATTTCTTGAAATCCCTGAGTTTTGTGCAAGTATTAAAAAAAAACAGGTGGGTGGAAAGGTGGCTCAGTAGTTAAGAGCATTGGCTGCTATTGCAGAAACCGCTAATGTGGCTTCCAGCACATACATGGCATCTCGGTGCTATCTGTAACTCCAGTTCCAGGAGCTCCAATGGCTTCTTTCTGTTCTCTGTGGCCACTTCACATATGTGGTGCACAGACATACAGCTAGGCAAGGCACTCATATAATAAAAATAAATGAAATCTTTTAACAAGTCTAGAACAATTTCATTAATTACAAAGTATGGATGTTTAAAATGGTGCTTAATGTCCTGGCACTCACCCTTAGTTCTGCCACAGTTCTGTTGAACTCTGAGGGTAGGTGATGCTCTAAGTTACAAAAGCCCATGTCTTTGCAACTAAACATTCAGTCACTCTGCTGGTACTGGATACAGCATTTTAAATTATTCCTACTGGGTTTTTACATTTTTTATATTGTAGAAAATGTATTTAAGTAAAGACAGCTGAGGAGGGAGAAATTTCAGACATAGGCCCCTTCATATTAACATTGAAGTGGGAGGACATACTAAAGTCTAGAAACTCAAATGTAAAGGAACCTGAAGGCATGGGTGTAAAGATTTTTCACTAGACCCAGGATAAATGATAAATGGGTGTTTACTGGGGAGCACTTACACAAATAAATGTAAAGAACCGGGGGAACACTTCTCCGCCCTTCCTAACAGATCAGCTGACCCAAGAGAAAAGACTGTGAAAAAGAAGCCACGCCTCAAGCTTCCCTCTTTCCACTTCTGTCCATCTGAAGCCATACCCAAAGTGGTGTGGTCACCGTTACAGGTTCACCAATAGGAACCTATTGAGCATAGATACTCAGAACACTAGGGTGAAGACTTTCAGAGTTCAGTCTTTCTGAAAATGTTCATATTTCAATCACAATGAAGGCTGGAGGAAGCTTTGCTCATCAATGCTTTGTCTAAATTCTACAGTAATTATTATTTGCAAGCCATGATCTATAGTGAATTTTAATTTGCTTTCTCTAAGAGAAAGCCCTCTTGCTATTCAAGAGCAAAATCCATGATGTGATTACAGCCTCAAGTGGCATTGAATAATTGATGTGAGGATCTCTGGTCTTTGTAATGTTGAGTCTTTACCAACCAGGAGACTGTGTGTCTCTGTCCCCAAGGGCTTCTCATACTTTCAAATCACTCAGCGAAATTTTGTGTGTATCTTTGAATAGAGCCTTTGAATATTAAAGATTGTTCCTATTTTGTATTTTCAGAGTCTTGTCAGTTATGTTATAGGTCAAAATCAGCCCATGGTTTGAAGGATGTTTTGTAAGATATTTTTATGTACAGCCATAAAAGGTCCTAGACCCCTTCGGAAGCACAGCCTTGAGTCTGCCTAGCTCTAAATGAGCCATCACCAATGTTAGTCAGGCATGCTGGCAAACACGAAGTGTTGACCTAACACAGAAAGTTGCCCTGGCAGCACTAACAAGCACAAAGTGTTGGCCCGGCATTGCCGGCTACCACGGAGGGTCAGGTTGGCACTGACCACTAGTACAGAAGGCCTGTATCACCCTTTTCATTTACTTTTGCCACAGGAAAGAAGACGTGAGTTTGAGCTAAATCTCAGAAAAACAGGTCTGGAGTTGGAAATCGAAGACAAAATGGTAACTGTATTTGATAAATTACACAAGGATGTTATTTTAAGTGAACTTTTCTCCTATTCATGTATTTTACTGGATAGATGTTGCGTCTGGAGCAAGTACACAAATCTTTTGGCTACAGAAATGTACATGGAGACAAGAAGACCTGCGCTGTCACAAATCAGTAGTCAGTGAGGTGAAGTGTCAGTGACACGTCCTAAAAATGTGTAGGAGCATAGGAAGTGAGAGAATGGCCAGTCTGTGAAGGGCTTGTTGTGCAAGCATCAATAACCAGGTTTCGCCCACAAGGCACTTAAAAATTTGGATGTGGTAATATGTACTCATAATGTCAACAACCGTGAACAAGTGGGTCCCTGAGACATTCTGTCCATTGAGTCGATCCTCTTTGGTGAGCGCCAGGTCCCAGTGAAAGACCCTGTCTCAAAGCACAGAAATAAACAAGGCGAAAGGCTCCAAAGGAGCTACACCCAAGACTGGATTGATGGCAGCCACCCACACCTACATACTACATATGCAACATCACACACACACACACACACACACACACACACACACACACGCTTTCTCCTCAGGGTACAGAAAGGTAAAACACTTTGTTTCCATAGCTGTCTTACCTTGAAGCAGCCTGTCACGTTGTACACTGAACCTGGCTGTCCTGCAAGACAGCCCACTATTTATCCCATGTTACTCTTATCATAAATAGGTTACACTACTTCATTCTTTTAACCCCATTCACGTTCATTTGCTGTTTTTCTGGGGTTATCTTTCCAGTTGTGTTTAAAGCCCTCCTTAAGATCACATTCTATTTGTGCCTCTTCTGATATCCTATGACTTTGATTTTGTTTTCTAGTTATTATTTCTCATCAGTTTTTAACTGAACCAATAAACACGTGTAATGTAACACAATCTGTGACTTATTTTCCTATGTAGTGGATCTTCAGGTAGGCTCCATGCAGTAACTGTGTAAGAAGAGAGAAAATGTGTAACAGCATGCATATAATATAGTAATATAATACATATTGATTACCTCATATAATTATCTAAACAAAATCCTGAGCTTAAGCTGACTAAAAAATATTATAGTATCCATAAATAAATAAATAAATAAATAAATATATTCTGTGAATCAATCTAGTGCAGGATTGACTAGACACACTGAAGTATATTTTAGATGACGTTGAGCATGTTCATGATATTGTAACCATATACCTGAAGTATATTTCAAAAAAAATTCTTTCTCAATCTCCATGTGTCTCTGTGACTCTCTCTCCCTGTGATATGCACATATACACATGTATATAATGTATATATGCTTGTTTCTATGTTGGTACGTGCCTTAGTTTCTTTTCTTTTACTGTGATAAGATACCATGGCCAAAGGAACTTATAGAAAAAAAGTTTACTGGGGGCCAGCGATTTCAGATGATTAGAATATATGGTGGAGGAGCACATTGTGGAACCAGGAACAGCTGATAGATTACATCTTGATCCACAAGTAGGAGGCAGAGAGGACCTCCTACACTGGACCTGCAGCATGCTTTTGACTTCAATGCTCTTCCCCAGGGACACTCCTCCTCCAACAAAGCCACACCTCCTAATCCTTCCCAAATAGTTCCACTAACTAGGGACAAAGCACTCATATTAGCCTATGAAGGCCGTTCTCCCTCAAACCACCATAGTACACATACTAAATGTCTTAGGTGAATCTTATTTGCTAAAAAGTTTGCTTAAAAACTGATTAAATTGAAATTTTATTTTCATCATTGAAAACTTATGAAATTTGCTTTCTTTAATCTCTAACTTTCTTTCACTCTGTCTCTTTTTTATGCAGAACTCTGAAGATGGGAAAACCTTTTTTGTGAAGATCCATGCCCCATGGGAGGTCCTGGTCACCTATGCTGAAGTGCTGGGAATCAAGATGCCTATTAAGTTGAGTGACACCTCGCAGCCAAAGTACCCACCCCTGAGTTGCATGCTTGGGCCTGTGAAGCTGCCAGCCACTGTGAAGTACCCTCACCCTGAGTATTTCACTGCCCAGTTCACCAGACATCGCCAGGAGCTCTTCCTCATCGAAGACGAGGCCACTTTCTTTCCATCCTCAGCGAGAAACAGAATCGTAAGTAGTGAAGGCCTTGGGCACCCCTCTCCTCGAATAGTGCGTACAACACTGAATTTGGTGCTTGTTCAGGCTCGATGCTAGGCACACAAGGTTTTCATCTGATAGCACTGTGCAGGGCTGAAAGCCTCTTAGGCCCAGCTTTAACTTGCTAAGGCCCCTATTTCTCAAACACTGTTTAAGAGCAGGGAACTGATTGACTACAATAGTGGAAGAAGCATTATGTAAGCCCAGAACAGCCTCTCATCGACAGCCCAAGGGTTTGGGTTTTATATCTTCATTGTAGCCTGATGTCATGATCTTAAAATTGGGTCAGAGAATATTGATCACTATAATTCAATTTGAATATTTTAATTTATTTATATATGGATAGGCTTTGAGGAGCCTCAGACATTTTCTCCCCTATTAAAATCATCTTTGGGCTGGAGAGGTGGCTCAGAGGTTAAGAGCACTGGCTGCTCTTCCAGAGGTCCTGAGTTCAATTCCCAGCAACCACATGGTGGCTCTCAACCATCTAGAATGAGATCTGGTGCCCTCTTCTGTTGTGCAGGCATGCAGGCAGGCAGAACATTGTATACATAATAAATAAGTATTAAAATAATAAAATCTTCAGCCCTGCCGGCAATATTTCTTCTTCTATAATACTAGGTCTTGTAAATTGCTGACTGAAAGCCACACATACTGCTGTTCCCTTGTGCTAGGTTGAGACCACACACGTTTCTTATGTTACCCTGAGAATTAAGTGAATTGATCTGTAGAAAGCCTTGAACAGCACTTACCACACAGCAAGTGTTCAGGATTAGCTATCATTTCCATTAGTCATCTGACTTTGCATGAAAAAAAAATCTGGTCCCATTTTGGTCTTGCACTTTGTATTGTGTGTGTGTGCATGTGTGTGTGTGTGTGTGTGTGTGTGTGTGTTTTAATTTCACCATCTGACTCCTAACCACTACAGACCTGTTCCCCCTTGAGACTATACATTCCCCCTTTATAAGAAGAAAAGATGGCTCATTCCACTTTCTTCTTAGTTCATAAACAAATATTTTTATTCAAATTCACAGAGATATCATGCAAAATGTTGCTTCTAGCATTTTGGTACAATATGAATTGAATATGAATTCAGAAAAAATTTTCTTACTTTCCCCACTGGGATTAAAAGATAGAGACCAACACGTCAAATCATCATCTTTTAGGGAATGAAGAAGCCCGACTGTTGTTATCAGAGGCCCGTTGAAAAGCCATAATGCTGCCTTTTTCTAGATAAGATCACTTCTCTGGAAGCAGACATCCTGTTACTGCTATGTGCTATAATTGAAATCTAGTCAGTAACTTGTTTCCTAAATATTTGCTGGTAAGAACTGAAGTTGCTCCTCATTGGCAGAGTGCCAGCCTATTGCATAGAGAGCGCTGGATTTAGGCTTCACCCCACCTTCCAAAAAAGATGGATCAGGTGGTTGTTCAGCACAGGGAGGTTGTTCCTATTCTTACCCTCATCTTTTGTTTCATGCCGTTACTTGTGAACCTTGCCGGTGTGTTTTCTAAGTGATAAGTATGGGCTCCCTTCCTTCTGTAGTGTAGAAGCACCGCACTCTCCGTTGAGAAGGCTGATGTTGAAAGAGTCCCTTCCTTCCTGTCCCACTCAGCATTGGAATCAGTGTATGGACAAGAGATGAATAAATCACTGGAGCATCTTACTAAGACAAATGGTCATACTTGAAAGCATATCTCTAAACGCCCCAGTCATCTAGAGATTGGCCCATGGCATAGAAGTGTGCGCGCACCATCGGAGCAGAAAAAGAACAGAATTTTTGACATGAATGAAGCTGTGGATGCAGCCACCTATATGGGTGGGAAAGCTAACACGGTTAGCATGGGTTTTAAATTGAATGCTTGATTAATGCATCTGTGTGGAGGGAGAAACAGCTAGGAAATTTTGTGTAACTTTGGTCATAAGGACAGAGATGGCTCTCAGAGAACACTAAAAGAAGGGCACCAGCTTCCTATTCGTCTGTGTCTGTGATGGTCACATTCCATTGCTATAGTACGGGAATATGCCCCATGGTGGTGCTTCACAGAAAGCATGGTTTCTGAATATTGGTGGAATCCTGCCCTGAGAAACTCTACAGGCAGCATTTTCCCAACTGTACATGACTCTTTTGAATCTCTATGTGTCTGTGTGACTGTTAGAGTCTTTAGTGAGCATGACAAATAGATCTGTGTGGTACAGTGGACTTGCTGGGCCTGGTGGTTCATGCCTGGGATTCCAACCCTTCCAAGGCTGAAACAGGAAGATTATCGTGAGTTTGGGACCAGCCTGGGCCGCACAGTCAACTCTAGCCAAGCTTGAGCAGAGACCCATCTCAAAATAAATAAATAAACCCACAAAAATAATAATCATGTACACACCAAAAAAGATGGAGAGGTAGAGAATGCCGGATATATTTTGACTCTTCCCTTAACTAGCATTTCCCCCATCTCTCTGGCACTCCCTAGGATCCCTCTTCCCTGAGACAAAACACCACGGAATTTGGTCCAGGCATACAATGTCAAAGTGGCCTCTGTGTGATCAAGTCAAGGTCCCTCAGTTTGAATCAAAAGCCAGAAGTGAGAAAGCTTAATAAGAAAGGTATGTGAAACCCTGAGGATGGCCAGCAGTTAGGTCTCTTGTGCCAGACAGTCAAATTTTGGACACCAAGCAGTGGTTCTTGATGGGATTTGAAAGTCTATTGCGGTTGACAGACAGTCAATAAGACAGTCTTTCAGCCTTGTGGTTGAACATTTTGGGGTCTGGATAGAAGATCAAACCTTTAAGCCAACATTCCCTCACATCAAAACCTAATGTGGATTTAGACCCAACCCTGGATCTTGAGTCTGCAGACGTGTATGGAAGCTGCCGCAGAAGCGCTTGAACCCTGTGAAGATGCTTTCTGGAGAAGCTGTCTCCTGTACACCCAGTACAGAAGAAGCCGCAGGTGCTGGAGCTACAGCTGGCTGCCCACGGGATCTGGGTCAGGAAACTGACTGGTGAAGGTGGCTGTGCTCTTAGCAGACTCTCAGTGTAGATGGAGTAGGTTTGTATCAAACTTTTGGGGCCCTCTTGCCCCCTCAGCCTGTTGGCCACCAGATCCGGAACAGAAAGAAGCAGATTGGGTGATAGAAAGCTTTGGCAGCCCGTGAGCCCTCCAAGAGACAGATTTCAGTGAATCAGCTCAACTTTAGTCCAGTGTATAATAAGAAATATATAGGATTGGGGAGCCTGGGGACAAACCCTAATTTGCATTAAGTAGCAGGATCCTATTCACAAGGCTTGGTTCGTAGCAGCAGGGTCCTACAGCAGAGTCCCTAGCACAAGTCCTCTTAGCAGAGATCTGCACCAAACTAAAGATGACTCATGTGTTTTTAGAGACAGCTTTTAGATAAGGTCAGTCTTCCAGGCCCAGGGAACTTCTCCAGATAAGGCTAGGTAGAGAGCAGGAAGCTTTGCTGGAGGGAAGAAGCTCCATGTTGCCAAGCTAATGAAATAAGCTGCCAGGCCATGGGGAGGCTGAGACCTCTGACCAGCCAGCAGTGTCTTCCAATATGGAACCCTGTTCTCTAGGACTGCACTGTAGGAGAGGCCAGCTTCAAAGGGCAGGATGACTACTTTGCTAGGGGATCAGTTGATGACCCCAAATGGCATTCTGAAGATCCTAGTGAATTTCAGAAATGCACTAGGGCATCTCCCTCAGTGCTCTGTAAACAAAACAACAAAGACCAGATGGGCAGGGACAGAACAGCTGCCTCAAGCTGCACATGTTAACCCACGGACGGAATGAACAGGAAACCGATTCCTGTTGTTACCCCAGGAACAATACCTCCGGAAGGCTGGTCGGTCTCCCTGCAGCTCAGACTGAGAAGCATTAAGATGGCTTGTTTTCACACCTCTGACGGGACCTCCTGTGTGTTACAGGGCTACAGCTGAGAGAGACGGTGATCGTTCTGATGAACCGACAGTCTTCTGGAAATGATTTCACGATCCTAGATATCATTAAAGTATTCACAACTCATGGGCGGAGATCAAATATTAAAACCAGAAAGAACTTGCAAGGAGCGCACTCCAGTAGGAATGGATGGCTTGGAGGGCACAAGATTTCAGTAGAGGAAAACTGCAGATGCTAACCGCAGGAGGGTCAGAATTAGAAGCGGAGCCTGAAGACAGGTCTGCAGAGGCCAAGCATGGTCACCAGGAGTCTTAGGGTAAAAGCCCCAGGATCTGGGCTCTAGGAGGACTGAGCTCAGCCAACAGTCCCAGTATGATACATAGTGAGACAAACAGTGGTGAGTGCCAGAAGCTTGCCTTGTTTTATTTTTCCATGCTGAAGATTACTTTCTAGCTGAAGTTGACTTTTGGCACTGGCAACAGAAAAAAATTATCTATTTCTTCTCAAACGTACGGTCCACCAACCTGCAGCAACTACAGAAAACAATCAACTTTCCACTTTCCAGTGCAACTTTGCATGTAACTAAATCATAGTTTGTCAACCTAAAAAAAATAAAAACTTTTCCAGGGTATGCGCATCAGGAACATACATGCATGCTTTAGCAGAGCATTAGTGTATAGTACACATACCAAAGTAAACCATCAGCATAGTCATTTTGAAATAAAGATGAGAACGAGAATCAAGACAATTACATATTTGAAAAAAATAATTGTTATTTGCTACAGTTATTAAAATGGCATCAGTCTGAGGCAGATGTCACTGTGGACGGACTTTCTGTGTAAGGTGTGGTGGCCCGTCAGTCTTTTGTGACTGCATAGCAGACAGTCAAACCATGATTGCTACAGACTCTTGCTATTCTGACAGGTTTGTCTAGTTTTGGATCAACGTTCACAGAGTTGGCCTTCACAAGTTCTGTCATTGTTAAAAGTAGGGACAGCTAAAGAAGCCCCCCTACCCAGTCCTCCTGTGTCTCTCCTGGGATATGCTTGCTATAGGTACCATTCTTCCTCAGCTGACCTTAGAGATACCTGGCATCACTACCACCTTGGCTCCTGAATATCATCTTGCACGGTCACCATGGTACTCTCCAGTCCTTGACATGCTCCGCCGAGTTTGTACATTGCCAGTTCCCTACACTTAAAAGAAATAGGGCCACTGGGTGTTGGTGGCGCACGCCTTTAATCCCAGCACTCGGGAGGCAGAGGCAGGCGGATCTCTGAGTTTGAGGCCAGCCTGGTCTACAGAATGAGTTCCAGGACAGCCTCCAAAACAATACAGAGAAACCCTGTCTCAAAAAACAAAACAAAAAGAAATAGGGCCAAAACTATTGAACGCTGCAGTCTCCAACAGTGACAAGAGGCTCATTTAGGTTTTTGTTTAGACTTCTGTTTATCCCAAAGGGCAAGTCAAGAATGTCCTCAGAAAAGAAGAGGGTGATAATTAATTCCTTTTTTGTCATCAGAGTAAGTTCGGTGTTTTTGGATCTATGCTCCTGCTCACATTTCTCACAGTGCTGAGACCTTCAGTAACAAAAGCCAACATTCACATTACCTCTTCTCTCCTCCCCGCCCCTCCCCTTTCTAATAAAGCTACTCATTTAAGCTCTGTCTGCCTGGCCTGTTTGTCCCTCCACCTCGGTCACCCTCGCCCGCCACGGAATCCACCAAGGTCCCCGTGCGTTTTTCCTAACACTAAGGCTACTCAACTGATGGTGCTTCTCTGATCCTCACAGGAACCTGACAGTAGGCTATCCTGAGCCACAGTGGACAGGAACATTGGCATAGAGGCTCCCCGAACCTTCCTGTCCTCTCCCCACAAGAGAACAATCAGCCTTCTGCCTTTCCTCCAAGCTTCCATTAGCAAGACTGAATATTAAGTGTCCTCTAGATGGATGACCATTATGATGGCAATCCATAGACAGTACCCAATGTAGGCGAAGAGTCTTTTAGAGATGAAATGTGAGGGAAGAAGGCTAGGCAGTGTATCTAAAGCAGTGACAGAAGGACCAAATTCAGCAAGCTGAAGAAGTAGGCATTTGACAAGCCCTTCAAGGGCAAAGAAGAATAAGTAGGGTTGATAAAAAGTACAATCACAGGAAACACCAAAGAGAAAGCTGATAGAAGGGACTAGAACATAATAGAAGAGACACAACCAACTTGATATATTCAACAAGATAATGCCCAGCAAAGGCCGCATCTATAATCATCCGAATGATTGGCTGAAGAAATACTGCAAACAGGCTGGCTAGATAGTGGTTTGGTCTCCATTTCTCCTAGTGAACAATGGTACTTGAACGTTGGTTCTAGTAAAGAGTTACAGTGCATGAGAGTCTCAGAGGAATCTGAGACAAGAGAAGAAAACGAAATGATTCGTACACTCTAGCCCCCAGCGAGGCAACTGGGTGTTGTCAGGACCCGGGAAGGAAACATACAGCTCCCCGGTCTATGTCTCCTCACAGTCCGTGAAGAGAGGTATTCTTCCATAGTCAAAGCCTGTGTCCATTCAGGGTAGATACCGTCCACTTGCGATTTTCAAAGTGTCAAAAGGCACTCTGCCAGGTGCTGAGGTGTCTTGGTTTAGCGTGCTCAGCCCATCTTTTTTACTTCATAGATTTAACCTACTGAGGTCCTTGCATGCTCACCTGGAAGGGTTCATGCGCTGATTTCCCTCTGCTACCTACCTGGCAGGTTTACTATATTCTGTCCCGATGCCCGTTTGGAGTAGAAGAGGGGAAGAAGAAGATTGGGATCGAAAGACTGCTAAACTCCAACACTTACTTATCCGCCTACCCACTCCATGATGTGAGTACTAGCGGCCACCGTGACGCAGACCCCCGTTTCCCCTCCCGCAGTCAGAGAGAGCTTGCCTTCCTGGGAGATGGAGGAGTTCTCCTGTGTCTATCCATTTCTTTACTAACTACTTAGTTCTCCTTCACAGAGGGAAAATTCCCAGATTCCCTCCTTCCAGGCTGAGAAGTATGCTGGCTGGGCTAAAGTGCGCTCAGCACCTTTTCTTGCTGGCATTTCAAATGGGAAGTCTTCCTAATGGTCATTTGTATCTGTGCACAGTATTCTCTTTAGAAATCATTCTGGAAATATATATACATTACCAAGAAATTTCTAAAATGTCTCTTCTCATAGATTTTTGAATTTTTAAAATAGTAAATGAACTCATGTTTATCCATCAAATGTAGAACTGGTTTCCATTAACAGGGAAAGCATTTTTGCTGGCTATTATTTACACTGCCTACCATGACTCCAAGTTCAGGGATTACCTAGAAACTAAGCAGATGTCTAGCTGAGGGTGCTGAAGATGCCAGTCATCGGAAGTACTTTTTCACTAGCAACCAAAATTATTTGGGATTGATGACCCAGTGCACAAAAATGTGGAGCTTTATATGTTCCACAGAAAGTAACTGTTCCAGATGTTGAGGCCAGTTCATCAAACCTTAAAATAGCTTGGCAGCCTGGGGCTTTGGGAAAGGGTGGTGGTGTTTGCATTTGAAAGGTGAAACACATTGAGTTTCACTGTGGCTTCGTGGTAGGAATCAGGTGGCTGGAGATATCTACTCACTACTTTGAGACCATCCCTTGGATCTCATTTCCCTGCTTCAATTGCTCTGTCCTAGCCATAAAAGACTTTCATATGATGTATTTCCTGCAAGAAATTCATCCCTCAGCAAGGAGATGAAACATACTTACATTGGAACAAATCGAAGACATTTATCTCCATTTTGAGTGCTGGTTGTTTGACGGTTGCACTGCTGAAGTGATGTTTTTTTCTCTAATTTTATTTTATTGAATATAGATTTTTTTCATACAATATATTCTGATTTGATTTCCCCTCACCCAAGTCCCCCAAGGTCCTCCCTACCTCTCTTCCCATCCAAGTCCATACCCTTTCTCTCTATCATTAGAAGTGATTTTTAAAGGCCTGTAGCCAAGCTTTTCCACCTGCAACCAACCAGTCAGTACTGTGAAATATGACTTTAAGTTGATTCAACAAGGATGACTGTGATCTGCTTCTCATAGGTCGTGGCAGCGAGTTCATATAAGCATTTCCCTCTCTAACTTGAGTGTGATCCTTTAATGTACAGAAGGAGAAACTGACCACCCTCCTCCAATGCCTCCCACCCCCAAGACAGCCACAGTCTTCTGGAGAAGAATGGTGTGGGGAATTGTGTCAAGACTCTGGTAGTATAGAAAGTTCCCGGTAGATTAGCGCGCATATGCCAGGCATTCCTTGACAATCTTTCTTTAAAGGGGATTATGTTTTGAAGACGTTGGAGACTTTTGTTCACTTATCTACCTGCAGGACACTGATTCTTTTAACCTATTGCCCTGTTATAAACCCAATACCTGTCATAGTCCTGGGGTCTTTTAACCTGTACATCCAGCCTTTCAGCTCAGCCTCGCTTGTTCATTGGAAATGAAGGGCACTGCGTTGCCCATAGGAGCAGCCAGATGGCACCATTTTTAACACCTGTTTTGAAAGCAAATTATGTCCACATAATTTTTTAATGGGTTAAACAGCTGCTTGTGTAAGTGGTACTTTGTTTACTAGGCCAACTTAATACACTCCGACTGTGTGGTTTTTTTTAGATAATGTTAGCAAATGATTTCCTGTGAGTGGAATATGAATTAGAAATCCATCAATAAGAGATGGTATCGGTTTTGTCCACTGACCATCGATCCAGAGAGGCTCCCTCTCCATCATCTGTCTCTAGTTTTCTCCCCTTACACTGTCTCTCCTTGACTGTGCACAGGGCCAGTATTGGAAGCCATCAAAAACTCCTACTCACATCAATGAGAGGTACGTCCTTTGCCAGAACTGGGCTCGGTTTTCCTACTTTTACAAGGAACAACCTTTAGATTTGATTCGGTAAGTTCATTCAGCCTTGTGACCATTAAAAGCCAATAAGGGGATCTTGGTTTACAATTCTAATGGAGACTGTGTTCACTGACTTTTTTACTCACTGTGTCCCCCAGCCCCTGTCTTTAGTATTCATTGTTCGTTTGGAAGATGGCAGTTGTTGCCTCAGTCTGTGAAAAGAAGGATGCAGCATGGCTGTTAGGGGTCAGGACCTAGCATTTAGCTAGGATGCCATCAGCCTAATTCCTGCCTTGTACAAGCAGGACACGCGGTACTGAAATGCGGTATGGTTTGTCATTAACATGGACATGATGCTTTATTTTCCTTTGAAAATGTGATGTGATTTGTCTACATTTTAGTTTGTGTGCATACACTAATTTTGTTTTATTTCCCAAGCAGAAAAATTTAGAATACAGGAGAAACTGGCCTGTGAATGTTAATCTCAGAGATCTGTTAAGTTCTTGGTTCTATAATCTCAATTTTCTAAACATGCATGCAATCAGTGCACAATGGATAATAAAATCAAAGAATATATGCAGATGTTTTTAATTATTCGTATAACTTTTCTGTGTATTTGAAATTGTTTCCAAATGAGAACTATAATTTAAAAAGTGAGCTCAGAAATAGATTCATAAAAAACAATTACTTGATTTTCAGCAAAGGTGACTTAGAAGCCCATGTATGAAAAGGAAGTTGTGAGAGTAAATGAAACTGGCCCAGGTGGATGAGCATGTACAGAATGTGTACCTGGGCCATTTCCTATTCAAAAATATAAGCATAAATTAAATTAATAACTATCAGAGCTAACACTACCAAAATAAACAAAAATAAGGGTATAGAAGAGAAGAATTTCTATGTCCTGAATGGAGCCTGAGCTTCTCAGGTCAGACAGAACACACACTGTAAGGAGTGTGTTTGATTAAAGACGTAGTACAGCATGAAAAATGTGTACAATAAACATATCCATAAAATACATTTATCTAAAAGAGTAGGAAAGACTTAGGTGATAATGTAGAAATTGACAAAAGGGTCTAACAAATGCTTTACCATAGAATTTTGATTATGGATGACAGCAGCCCACCAGGAAATCCACAGGGAAATAGAAGCAATGTCATTGAGGGGACACTGTTCTCCTATGAGCGAAATCAAAATCAAAGACCTCACAAGAAGAAGCTATTACAGTACCAGGATGGCAGCCTTTTGAAATCCTAGACACCCTTGGTGGGACTGCATGGCCAAACACTTTGTTATCTTCTTGTGAAGTTAAATGTGTTCTTTCTGAATGATCCAACAGTTACACCCAAAAGTGTTTAACCAGAAAAAAAATGAAGCATCTGTCCACAGAGACATCATCATTTGAATATTCAAGGCAACTTAGCTGGTAATAAAGAGAGACTTGGAACAATGAGATATATAAGAACTAAGTGACAATTTCATGCAGAAGAGAAAATTAATGTATGAAACACCAGGTAAGAAACTTGTAAGCACTGTACCGAAGGACAAAGAAGACAGCAGAAAGCTACATGCTCCGTGTTGCTATTAAAACCATTCTTCTTGGAAGAGCAGAACCACACTGGTGACGCAAGAGAGGCCTAGAAGTGGGTCTCTGGGGAGACACAAGGTCGTAAGTGCAGAGCCTTTCTGAGCCAGTGGCGGAGCTCTGGGTGTGACTGGGGTTGTGCTTACACAAGGGCCTACGTTTGACACTTGCTCAGTAACTGGACTTCATAGATCATTTTTTTTTCTGGGATTTAATGCTTTAATTTAGGTGTAATTCTGATTTAATTATCTTTTTTTTTATTTTCCAGTTTAAATTTAGATAAGAAACAAGGTTGCTTCACAAGTCAGTTCCAAGTCCCTCTCCCTTTCCCTCCCCTCCTCACATGCTCTCCCCCCAACCCTCCCCCCCCCGTTATCCCCTCATTTCCCCAGGGAGGGTGAGGCCCTCCATGGGGGTGTCCATAGTCTGTCATTTCATATAGGGCAGGGCCTAGACCCTTCCCCAAGAGTTCAGGGTGAGAGTGTACCTCACATTGTTCTATGGGAGTCCAAAGTCCTTATGTATACTCGGGATGGGTACTGATCTGCTGCCCAAGGCTCAATAGATTACCTAGGCCTCCTCACTGACACCCAGATTCAGGGGGTCTTGATCAGTCCCATGCTGGATTCCCAGGCTGATGCCTGGGATTCAAGAGTTAACCTTTGTCTGGTCAGCTGTTTCTGGGGGGTTAAACCAGCCCAGTCTTAATCCCTTTGATCATCAGTCCTCCCTCTCTGTCATTGGATTTCTTGAGTTCAGCTCAGTACTTAACCAAGGGAGTCTGCCTCTTCTTTGATTAGCCACTAAATGAAGTTTCTGTTTCCCAGACTCTCTGGCCATAGGATTGTAGGCTGGCACTCCCCAGATCTATGTCTAAAATCCATATATGAGAGAGTACATGCCATGTTTCTCTTTTTGTGACTGGGTTACCTCACTCAGGATGGTTTCTTCTAGTGTCATCCATTTACCTGCGAATCTCATGATTCCATTACTTTTTTCTGCTGAATAGTACTCCATTGTGTAGATGTACCACATTTTCTCTATCCACTCTTCGGTTGAGGGACATCTAGGTTGCTTCCAAGTTCTGGCTATTACAAATAATACTGCTATGAACATAGTGGAACAGACATCTTTGTTGTATGAATGGGCATCTTTTGGATATATGCCTAAGAGTGGAGTTGCTGGGTCTTGTGGTAGGTTTATTCCCATTTTTCTGAGGAATCTCCACACTGATTTCCAAAGTGGCTGAACCAGTTGGCACTCCCACCAGCAATGGAGGAGTGTCCCCCTTTCACCACATCCTCTCCAGCATAAATTGTCATTGGTGTTTTTGATTTTAGCCATTCTGACAGGAGTGAGATGGTATCTCAGAGTTGTTTTGATTTGCATTTCCCGGATGGCTAAGGATGTTGAGCACTTTCTCAAGTGCCTCTCAGCCATTTTAGACTCCTCTATTGAAAACTCTCTATTTAGTTCTGCAGCCCACTTTTTAATTGGGTCCTTTGATGTTTTGGAGACTTGCTTCTTGAGTTCTTTGTAAATTTTGGAGATCAACCCTCTGTCAGATGTGGGATTAGTGAATATTTTTCCCATTCTGTGGGGTGCCTTTTTGTCTTGCTGACTGTGTCCTTTGCCTTACAGAAGCTTCTCAGTTTCAGGAGGTCCCATTTATTAATTGATGATCTCACTGTCTGTGCTACTGGTGTTATGTTCAGGAAGCTGTCTCCTGTACCAATTCGTTCAAGGGTACCACCCACTTTCTCTTCTAAGAGGTTCAGTGTGGCTGGATTTATATTGAGATCTTTGATCCATTTGGACTTAAGTTTTGTGCATGGCGATAGACATGGATCGATCCGCATTCTTCTACATGCCAGTCTCCAGTTATGCCAGCACCATTTGTTGAAGATGCTTTCTTTATTCCATTGTGTATTTTTAGCTTCTTTGTCAAAGATCAGATGTTCGTACGTGTGTGGGTTAATACCCGGGTTTTCAATTCGATTCCATTGGTCTACCTGTCTATTTTTGTGCCAATACCAAGCTGTTTTCAGGACTATAGCTCTATAATAGCGCTTGAGGTCAGGAATGGTGATGCCTCCAGACGTTGCCTTGTTGAACAGGGTTTGTTTTGGCTATCCTGGGTCTTTTGTTTTCCCATACAAAATTGATTATTGTTCTTTCAAGGTCTGTGAAGAATTGTGCTGGGATTTTAATGGGGATTGCATTGAATCTGTAGATTGCTTTTGGCAGGATTGCCATTTTTACTACTTCATAGGTCATTTTAAAAACCAAAGGACGCCAGGCGGTGGTGGTGCACGCCTTTAATCCCAGCACTCGGAAGGCAGAGGCAGGAGGATCTCCGTGAGTTCGAGGCCAGACTGGACCGACAGCTGATGAGGGAAGTCCTGTGATTATGTCAATAAAGCACTGTTGGGCCAATAGGAATCTAGATAGGTGGGACTAGGAGTCCAGGAGGACTCTGGGAAGGAGAAACACAGAGTCAAGATGTAACGCCATGGGGTAGGAAGCCAGGAAGTATTCTCCGGTAAGAGAAATACTTAGATTAACAATTATGGGGTAATTACTTAAGTCAGAGCTAGCCAGTAAGACACAAGCAAGGCCAACAGCTTCATAATTAATATAGCCTCCTGTGTGTTTACTTGGGACTGATGCGGCTCTAGAACCAGGCTGGTGGGAAGGCTTCTCTCAAGGAAAAAGCTTCTCTTTACAGACAGCCTCCAAAACAATACAGAGAAACCCTGTCTCGTAAAACCAAAAAAAAAAAAAAAAAAAAAAAAACCAAAGGACATGAACTTTTTGTGAAACATGCTGGGAGGGACACGGAGTCTAGAGGGAGAAGACAGGGGTTGCATTGATCATATGCCATTATGTTAATGCATGAAATTATCAAGAATAAAGTAAAGACAAAATTTTAACTTTTAAAAATGAAATCATGTACTTATCATATCTACAAATTATATAAATATGTATCCAGAGAAAGCATTTTATTGCATACACGTTATGTTACTACATAATTGTTTGACTGGAAATTATAAAAAGAAAGACACTCTTCTTAGGAGAAAAGAACTAAAATAGAGAAAGATGCTGGCACGTGAACACTAAACACAGAGATGGAACAAGAAGGAAGCCAAAGGCATAAGAGGGTTGTTAAGAATGGGCCTGCAAATACTGAGGATCTTCAAGACACTGCTATCAGGGGAAAGAATCAGCCATGAGTTCTGTGGTAGTTTGAATGAAAACGGCCCCCAAAGGCACACAGGGAATGGCACAGTTAGGAGGGGAGGTGTGGCCCTGTTGGAGTAGGTGTGGCCCTGTTGGAGTGGGCGTGGCCCTGTTGGAGTGGGCGTGGCCCTGTTGGAGTGGGCGTGGCCCTGTTGGAGTGGGCGTGGCCCTGTTGGAGTGGGCGTGGCCCTGTTGGAGTAGGCGTGGCCCTGTTGGAGTAGGTGTGGCCCTGTTGGAGTAGGTGTGGCCTTGTTGGTGGAAGTGTGTCTCTAGGAGTGGGCTTAGAGATTTCAAACGCTCAAGACAGGCCCAGTGTCTCTCTCTTCCTGTTGCCTGCTAGGATGAAGAACCCTCAGCTCCCTGTTCATCACCAGGTCTGCTTGTTTGCCATCAACGCCTCCCACCATGATGACAACGACTACATCTCCCAATGCAATCAAGCCCTAGTTAAGTTCTTTCTTTGTAAGAGTTGTCATGGTCATGGTGTTTCTTCACAGCAATAAAAACCCTGACTAAGGCAGTTAGAAAGCCGTCTTTAGGGCAGAACTTGTGGGAACTCGTGGATGACTGGGTATGGAGATAGGTCAAATAGAGAGGATTCAGATACATAGTCCTCTTCTCTCAGATGCCACACAACCCGTGTGAACTCTGTACCGTGTCGTGTCCAAGTATTTGTAAATTTGTTTCTGCAATTGGCAGTGATAATTTCTTAGCATTCTAAGAAAACTGCTAATACCAGGACTGCTGTCACAGGTGATTTCATCTACAGCTACAGGTGCTCTGTCAGCAATTTTCCTTCCTTCCCGGTTTCATGGCTTCTTGTAGCTTCTCTTTAATATGCCTGCCGTTCTTGTCTCGACACTTAATTAAAATGGGTAACCTCTGCATGCTAAATAACTTAGAATAAATGGATCGGCAATGCCTCTTAACGGTATGTCCGTACTACCATGGCAGTGGGGTATCTGATCCTCAGATGCCAATCAACTTACACTCAAAGGAGTTATTTTAGGATATTGACTTTTTGTTCATTGATTCCTCAAGGCTTTATTCCAATCAGTTCTACCATAATTTTTCATGTAATTTCATCATGGACGTAATAAGTAGACCCCCGAAGACATGACTACCGAACCTTCTCTGCCTATAGAGGGTATGTAGATGGTATGTTAGGGGTCTGGGATGTAAAATGAACATCTTAAGATATACCATATACATGCCAGTTTTATAAAAATACTTGGAAGAAAGGAATGTTTGTGTATTTGAGTCTTTTAAATATTTCTTGTATTGTTAGATTTTTGCCACAAATAATGAAAACTTAATGTTTAAATGGTATTATCTGTATTTTTACTATAGTACAAATGATGTGCCTTTTGCTTTCAATGCCCTCAAAATAAAAGGTTTAGTTGGACCAGCCCTGGTGGCTGAGGTCTATGAACTCAAGGGGCTAAAGAGGAGTTCACCAAGTCAAGGCCTGCCTGAGGGACAGACTGACTCAGAGCCAGTCTGGGTGTGGTCCTGAGTCAAGACAATAGCTGAAACGAGAGCTGCTGCTCTTTCAGGGGATGCAAGTTGAGTCTTAATCCTCACATCTGAGTGGATACCGGAAACAACCTCCTGTAACGTCAGATAAGGGAATCCAATGCCTGCTCCCGGCCTCTGTGAGCATTACACGCTGTGCACGCACACAGAGACACGTCCACACACATGATTAGAACCGAGCCTGAAAACCACAGAGGACAGCAATAGAGCCGTGAGCGTGGGCAGGGGGTGCAACGTCAGGATGGAGGCTAGAAAAGAGGGTTGAAATAATCAGGACGCGCGTCATGCGTGTGTGCGTGGGGTTGTCAAGGGACAAACAGGGGAACAAAAGGGACGGAAGTAAGACGAGGGCTATGGCCGCAGCCTGCGACACTTGCTTGGTATGCAAATTGCACATGCACACAGTTGTAGTTGTTAGCCTGTGCCTTCAAGTATATTCATCTAGTCCACAGTTTAGTGAAAAACACTTCCTATGCTTCCTCTTTTTATAAACAATAAATTCTCATTTCCTAAATGAGGTCATTTAGGAAATGGCCCAGCAATTTCCTGCGTTGAGAGGATTTTAATAATAATTATAAGCCTACAGACTTTCTAGGGTTTTTTTTTTTTTGTTTGCTTGTTTGTTTTTACGAGACAGGGTTTCTCTGTATTGTTTTGGAGGCTATCGGTCCAGCCCGGCCTCGAACTCACAGAGATCCGCCTGCCTCTGCCTCCCGAGTGCTGGGATTAAAGGCATGCGCCACCACCGCCCGGCTTCTAGGTTTTTAATATGAAGGAATATTATTCTTGAAATTTGGAAGTGGTCATTTTAAACTAAGCCCAAAAGCTGTCAGAGTAACCAAGCGTGACCTGCTTTGAATAAAGGCTCACTCACTGAGAGGGAACCCATGTTCAACACTGCCTAAGTGACCAAGAGTCTGAGACCAGATAGGTCATAAACCAAGGGAAAGCTAAATACTGCTTTTCTGTTAAAGGAAGATAGCAATAAAATGATTCCTAACGATGTTCCGCTGTACTCATAGATCAGCGTCTTACTCAGCCATCACTAGAGAAGCTTCCTTCTGCAATAGGTTGGAACAAATAGAGAAACTCACAACCGCACTACGCGAGAGACCTTGAAGCACTCAGTCCTAAATGGGATGTCTGCATCAAATCCCTTTTCTCGGGGCTCGGGGAACTCTGTGGAGAAGACAAACAGCCTATTAAGAGCCAGAGGGTGTGGAGGACAACAAACAAGAACTTCTAAACACAGAAAGACCAATCCATATATGAATTCCCAGAGACTCTGGAAGCCTACAGAGGGCCTGTACAGGGCTGCCCCAGATATGGTCCAAGTGTTGAGAGGGGGCACAAGCCCGCCCCCTCTAACCTAAAAGTTATAGCCAATTGATAACTACTCACGAAGAAAAAGTAGTTTTCTCCAATAGATTCACAGGGTACACAAACCATCCTTAAGGACCGCATGTGGTCAATCAACAGTAAGTGGTCAACACAAAATGAGCTCTACGGATTTTGGGGAGGATTTTTAGTCTCACGGTGTTTTGACAGCATTTTTTTATTGTTAATTTATTTACTTTTACTGCACAGGTCTTTTGCTTATATCTTATGGTTTCTGATTTTGTTTGTATGAGTTTTCTGTGTGTGTGTCAGTGTCTGTGTTCCTAGTGCTTTTTCTTTTTCTTTTCTTTTCTTTTTTTTTTTTTTTTTTTTTTTTTTTTTGGTTTTTCGAGACAGGGTTTCTCTGTATTGTTTTGGAGGCTGTCCTGGAACTTGCTCGGTAGACCAGACTTGTTCTCGAACTCACAGAGATCCACCTGCCTCTGCCTCCTTAGTGCTGGGATTAAAGGCGTGCGTCACCAACGCCTGGCTCCTAGTGCTTTTTCTTTGGCACTTTTTGTTTCTGTTTGTTTTCTCTTATTCTGGTTTGTTTGTTTTTATTTTATCTTATTGTTGTTTATATGCCTGTTTGTGTTATAATGAGAGAGAGAAAGAAAAGGTGTGTATTTGGGAGGTGGGGAGGATCTGGAAGGAGTTGGGGGAGGAGAATTATAACCAAAACATAGTACATGGAAAAAAATCTATTTCCAATAAAAGGAAAAAGAAATCCACAAAAGGAAAAACAAACAAAAATCTAGTTTTCAAGACATCCAGTTTCCTCATGGATTCCTGAGTATTTTTGTGCCTGTGGTGGGTACGCTCACTGTACTTCCTAAAATGGATTCTGTAAGCTTTGGTACAGCAGAAAGAAAGCAAATAGACTATATTAAAAAATACTTAGTACTTAAATATAGTGCAGGCGTTCATTGCAATTCCAGCATGGGAGAGGCTGAAGTAGGGGTGTGGCTGAGAATCCAAGGCTAGCCTAGACTAAAGAGTGAGACTATCTCCAAAAGGAAAGACAGGAAGAAAAAGATTAGCATCTTTTTGGTGATCTTGGCATTGCACAGTATTATAGAAATTGCTTTATTCTTTAAGTAAATCTCTGAGAGATGCAGGGTCATTCACATTTACTGTGGGGAAGTGTCAATAGCAGATTGCTTAGGGACTGTGACAAACAGCGATGTGGAAAAAAATAAAAGCATGCCGGGCGGTGGTGGCGCACACCTTTAATCCCAGCACTCAGGAGGCAGAGGCAGGCGGATCTCTGTGAGTTCGAGGCCGGGCTGGACCGACAGCCTCCAAAACAATACAGAGAAACCCTGTCTCGTAAAACCAAAAAAAAATAATAATAATAATAATAAAAATAAAAGCAAGCCTGCAGAAATGTTTATCAGCATTGAAAGGAAACTGCAGTACACACAGACAGACACCTATTTAATTAGAAAGGTTTCAAAAAGCTGAAGAATTAATGCAGGGTATGAGGAATCTATTTAAAATCTGCTTCAAATGGTCTCTGCGGGAGGTGACATTTATGGCCCCTCTTGCTCACTCACTATCTGTCGTTCTCAAATTAGTAAAGTCTGGGACCCTCGGAGCAGTGAAATCTGTGGGAAGGTCATGAACCTGGTGATGAGTTCTCTGAGGCAGAGAGGGCTGTCCGCTGGTCTCTGGGGGGCCGGCTCAGCTAAACCTGGCTGTGAGTACAAGCAGGTATTCCGAGCAAGACTCTGTAAGCTTCTCCAGTCCGTGAAGCGAGGGACGCAGTCACACCAGGACGCCATCAGAGCACCCACTTCAGCTGGAGAAAGAAGCAAGACAGTTGTTCAGGCAGATTACGTCTGCCACTTTACAGGTCACATTTCTTCATTTAGTAATTTATTATACGTTTGTTTAATATTTAACAGCTTACTTAAAACACAAGGAGAGTTTAAAATTCGTGAGTTCTCAGTATGGTAATATTTAACATTTAAATGTTATCCTCGTGGCTTCCTCCTTCCACGGGCTGTTACTTTTCATCTCTACAACCATAAACTCTGCTGCCCGAGTGGAGTCGGTGCACCCGTCCCACAGTTTTCTTCCAGCCTCTGACCTTGACTCTCTTTCACAGGAATTACTATGGAGAAAAAATCGGAATCTATTTTGTATTTCTTGGGTATTACACAGAAATGCTGCTGGTTGCGGCTCTGGTTGGCTTAGCCTGCTTCTTCTATGGCTTGTTGTCGATGGAAAATAATCAAACTAGGTGAGCACAGGAGACTGGTACAAATCGACACTGCCGTGGTCTAGGCTTCGGCAGCCTTCTTATTTTCCCATTTACCTCCAAATGTGTCCTTGTTGGTAGCAGGCAGTGTTTTCAAAGCAGATTCACAAGTAATGTCTCTGCTTGCCGGGGCTTTGTGGAAACTGCCTTTTTGTTGTCCTTAGGTTTTAATTTCATTTATCCTAACTGCATTTATTCTTTCCTGTGTTTGAGAATTTCATAACGCATACATTGTGTTTTGAGCAAATCAACCCCTGCCCCCCTCCACTGTCCTTCCCGGTTTCCTGCGTTCACTTTAAAAGCCAAGTCCACTTGGTGTTGCCCTAGTGTGCGTGCACGGAGGACTATGTCCTGGAGCATGTGGTCTCGCCCTCAGTTGCCCAGTACCAGCCATCAGCTGTCAACAGCCCTGCCACTAGGGGTAGGACCTCATGACCCCTCGTTCCCCATCCTACGTGTTGTCCATCTGAATCCTGCTCCGGTTCTCTACATCAGACCTTTTAAAAATGTAGTCTAAGGAGTCTGTTCTGTAGACACTTTTGCTTTGTCCCCACTTTTGTTGCGAGTGGGCACTCATTAAGCAGTCTGGTGACAGCTGCTTAGATTGTCCTCTCCAAACTGCTTTTTATCCGACGTCTCTGGGTAGCACTGAAATCTGTGACCCTAACATCGGAGGTCAGATGATCATGTGTCCACTTTGTGATGAGGTGTGCGATTACTGGAGACTGAACACCACGTGCTTGCATTCAAAGGTAAGTGTGCTGTACGGCGGGATGGAGCTTCCTTCCTGTGGCGACGTGTTTCACATTAAGTGGCTTTTATGATGGTGTTGCTTTTACAGTTCTCCCATCTGTTTGATAATGAGTCAACCGTGTTCTTTGCGATCTTCATGGGGATCTGGGGTGAGTACAAATCCTTCTCCAGCTTAATTTCATAGTATTGTAACTGTTCATGAATTTAACACATTTTGTCTAATCTGCTGTGTAATTTGGGTAACTGACTGTTTTCCTTTTACCACTGGAAATAGCTCTGTAATAAACTTTTCTAAGATAGGATCTCCTAAAGTGAAGGCTGCTTTGAGCTTTCAGTGTAGCTGAGGATGACTTTGATCCTCCTGCCTCTGCCTCCTAAATTCTGGCATTACTACAGTGCACCATGACACAGAGTCTATGTGCTGCTGGGGTTGGAACTCAGGAACTCAGGGACTCATGCATTCTAGGCCATCACTTTACCATTGAGCTATATCCCCAGCTCCTGGAACAAATATCTTTATGTACTTACACATAAACGTTCTAAGAATAATACTTAGCATGTGAATTTATGGGGAAGATTTGTATTCACAACTTAAAAGCTTTACTGTATACTTACATGGCTTACATAAAATTGGACTTTTACACACATTCTCACCTTAGTTTTTAACACTAAAGATGCAGCTTGATGGATTGGGTATCATCTCCTTACACTTCTGATTTGCAGTTATTTGATCACAAGTATTTCTGATATCTGATATTGGATATCCTTTGCCACTGGAAGCATTTTTTAAAAGATTTGTTTATTTCTTATACACACAGATATATATACATATATGTATGTATATACACACACATACATACATACATATATATACATATATATGCATATATATATATACTGCATCAACTTTAACTTTATGCCAGAATAGGACATCAGATCCCACTATAGATTGCTATCAGCCACCATGTGGTTGCTGGCAATTGAACTCATATATTTAAGATATTTCTAAACTCATCAAATACTGATAATAAAATTTATACCAGTTGTTAGTGTTTGGCTAATGTCAAGATAAAATATTATAACAGTATTTGAATGAGGAAGCAGTGTGGATGATCTGGAAATGTATAGCTTTAACTACTTAGAAATTATTTGAATTTCTGTAATGAATAATTTGTTATTACTTAGTGTCACATCGACAGTAGTCCCTGATAGAAAACACCATCAGAAACGGTCAGCATTTCCAACTGACGACATGGGAAATGCTTTGCAAACAAAACAATTAGAAGCAGAATTGAAAGTTTCCTTTTTAAGATGATTTTTATTATTTTCAATTGCATGTGCATACACACACACACATACATGTGCATGCCTAGGTGCAGAGTGGGTGCCCAATGAGGCAAGACAGCCTTGCATCTCCTGGAGCTGGACTTGAAGGTTGTTGTGGAGCCCTGAGGTGGGAATGCTGGGGCCTGAACTCAGATCCTCTGTCAGAGCAGCAGGCCCCTTAACCTGTAAGCCACCCCTCCGGCCCCGAGGGCTGCTCTCTGGAAGCTTTTGTTTGTCTAGCTGCTGATGGCTCCACCCGGATTTTTTCTTCTACCGCAGTCACGCTGTTTCTGGAGTTCTGGAAACAGCGACAAGCCAGGCTTGAGTATGAGTGGGACCTCGTGGACTTTGAAGAAGAACAGCAGCAGCTCCAGCTGCGGCCTGAGTTTGAAGCCATGTGTAAACGGAAGAAGATGAATCCTGTGACGAAGGTACAGTAGACATGGATTAGGAGCTTGCCTCAGGCAACCCTCTGCTGTCGGCTGCCCTGGAATAGTCACGTTTCGTCAATATGCAAGTTAGTCGATAGAATTCCTGTTTTTTTCTCATGTACACATAGTCATATATATGAAACAATTTCAAACATATTTACAAATAGAAAGCTATAGCTTAGCCCCTGGGTGGACCTGCTACTCAACACAGCATTTTCTCGTATGTGTCCACACACCCCCCTGCTACTAGATTACTTTTAAAGCAAATCCAACGCATCAGAATATGAAATATGTAATTTTACTACTAGACGAGAAAAAGTGAAATAGAAGTTAGTGTGTGTGGAAATGAGCTAATGTGTTAAACTTAAACAGTAGTTGTGTTAAGATGGTGGATTTAAGAGTGAAGTTTTATTTGACTGGATTTCTCTTTCCACGGTGCCCTTACATTGATTGTTGGCGGGCAGTTCACGCCACTGGAAGTGAGAAGACTCTAAGTTTTCAAATCTTTATCCATCGAGCTGTCTGTGTGTTCTTGACTAAGGCATCGACTTCCTGAAACCTCCCTATTCTCATTTGAAAGTGGAATATGCTTTTCCTTCAGAGGGCAGAATGTTAGCCTCATAGGCTGGGAGCTGCTATGTGCTCTGAGAAAGAGTTTGTTCCACTTCAAGGTCCCTGTCTTCTGTAGAATCCTGTCCTGTCTTGAAGGCACCATTGCCGTACAACTCCCAAGATTCTTTTCACAGTTTAGGAAATATCATAAAAATGTGCAGCACGCGTGTAACACCTACTTAATCTGGATGTTGTTGTGATAAAATACCATTGGCAAAAGTAACCTATAGAAGAGAGAGCTTAGTTTTTCCTTAGGTTACAAAGGGAACATCCATAAAGTCAGGAAAGGAAATGATCCACAGCAGGAATCTAAGAATCACACTCGTCTACACACAGGAAGTGCACACATGGCGGGAGGGGGGGGGCGGCTACCCTTTAGATGCTAAAAGACCTCTCATGGTGACATACTTCCTCCTTCAAGGCTACACCCCCTAAAGGTCCCATAACTCCCCTAAACCGTGCCAGCAGCTGGAGAATAAGTGTTCAAATGCTTGAGCCTATGGGAGACATTTCTTTCTTAAGCCAGAAGAGACATTGGATATAATAACAACATGATATGTATTTCTTTGTTTGTTCCTATTTCATAGTAGAAAAAGACAACAAAGGCATGCCACTTGGTTTCACCAACATAAAGGACGGGCTGGGCTGAGTGTCTGCATTTGGGCTTATTGGCAAGAAGTGTGGATAGATTCTTCATGATTCCTTCATTATGTTTAGCTCTAACAGACTCAAAGCGACAAGATAGGAATTTTTCATTCCTGGTAGTAGATTTTATTGTTTAAGCAGAACTCTCACATGTGGGTCTGCATCAATGGTACATGCGTGTGAATACATACATACACACACAATGGGCACTAACACACAATAGCACACACACATTGGGTGCACACAGGGTCGGTGCAAAGGACCCTAAGTGCACACATGTGTGCACAGCCTACATATCCATAGAGCTCTTTAGAAGGTTTCTCAGCCCAGGGAATGTTCTGTAACTCTTCGTCCAATTTGAAAATCCTTAGTTGTGGAATTTTACATTTGGCATAATTCTGTGGTTTGCATATTTCCTTACAGCTATTCCTTACTTTATAGCAACCTTTGTAAATAAAAATCCATGTTTGACTGTAGCTCAGAATGTCAGTGGATCCAATTAATATCTTGCATATTAAGGGCTGTGAAGACTGGGGGAGAAGGGCCTGGCCTGATGAGTTTTGGGTAATAACACAGGGAACTTCGTAAGTTGTGAAACAAGTAGCAAACATTTCAATGGAATTAAATTGTACCTCAACACACATCAGTGGTGAGGTTTGAACACTGTCTCTGTGAGACCCTGAGGCCACTGTAACCCAACACTTAGGAAGCAGGCTGCCTCCATCAAGTCTCTCAGCTCATATGGAATGTCACTTTGGGGTTTGATGGCCTTCTCTTCAAGGGAAAGAGATCCATCCCATGGGCTATGTAATGAGAGAGCCCTTTGTGAGGGCTCTACATTCAGCGTACTCCTTAATTGTTCTACTGCCATTTGGATTCCCACCTGGGAGCACGTAGTGTGACTTTGTTATCTCTCCAACATTGCAGGAGATGGAGCCACATATGCCTCTGTGCCATCGCATCCCTTGGTACTTTGTGTCAGGGACCACAGTGACCTTTGGGGTAAGCACCATTTTGGAATCTTTTACCGTTTCTTTAGAACACAGTCCTCTATGAACCACAGTGTCTCCATAGCTCTGTCTGCATCCGCTCTTGGATCATCCCTGTGATGCCCCATTCTTCCCACCTCGACTACACCTCTTATACAAAGCATGCCATAATTTACATAGATTTTTGTGGGGGGAAGAGTTCAGATTTCACAGCCTGTTCCTGTCTGTCTCGTTGACTGATACCTTGAAACCAAAGCAAAGCGTGATATACATCTTCATTGTAGTCTCTGGTTAATGTCGGCATCGTTCATTTTCCTAAAGTATCTGTGCATGTGACCAAGAATTAAACACCCTTTTTTCTTGTTGAAATAAACAGAATAAAACCCGAGGAAGACAAATCTGTGGAGGGGAGTTGGTTTCTCTCAATATCTATAGCTAATGCCTTTATTCCCACCATGATTCTTTCCCTTTCGTTTCCTTTCAAAATTGGTGTACTTGTCACAGCTGACTTTTAATTTTTGGAAGAGGGTGTTAGCCTCAGAGAGAATATCATATTGAGGTAGAAACAATTTAAATATTTTAGACTGTAGTTTAACTTCTCCTGTGTGTGTGTGTATACTGTACAGTTTTAACACTTCTTATTAAAATATTTGTATATCTTTAAAGAGTTAGTTGAGATATTTTTCCTTAGCTTTCATAACAACTTTTAGAAGAAGAAAACAAATAGAAGGGGGAACAAATAACCAACTTGGGATCAATTCTGAGCAATGAACTTGGAAGCAGAATTGTTGTTCTCTTTTCATTTTCTACTTCTCAGTCAATTTGCTTCCTCAACTTTAAAGTTTTCCAGTCATTGAGTGATATAGAGACACAGTGCTTGGCCATATACAATGTATACAAAATTGATGTGGGAACTACATAACTAGAGCCTTGATCATGTTTTGACATTATTTTTCCTCAAGGGGGATTCATTCATGGCTACATAGTCTCTGGTTCAGGATTATTTTTATTTTCTTTAGAACATTAAAAATTAATCCATATTGATAGAGATAAGATAGATAGATAGATAGATAGATAGATAGATAGATAGATAGATAGATGAAGGGTTCATAGACAATAGACAGACAGACAGGCATCAAGACAGATAGACAGACAGAAGATAAATGATAGATGATAAACTTATCTCAAGAGCAACATCAAAACATACCAAACCGGAGGTATGATCCAGAAATATGACTGTCATCTGTAAACACTGATAAACTGAATTACAAGTTGAATGCAGCAGTCCCCTCTCACATTGCTATGGTAAAACAGCTGGCCGGAATCAACTGAAGGGAAAGGCAGTTTAGTTTGGCTCACAATTCAAGGACACAGTTCGTCATGGCCGAGAACGCATGGCGATGGGAGGTTGAGGGAGCTTGTCACATTGCTTTCAGAATCACAAAGAAATGAGAGACAAATGCCAGCCAGTACTAATTCCAGATTCCAGGCCCATGGAGTGGTGTCACTCCCAGTTAAGATGGGTCCCCTGTCTCAATTGACATACTCTAGGTAACTCATTCACAGACGTTGTCTCCTGTTGAGTTGACCATGTCTCTTATCACAGAGGATGATGGCTTTTTCCTACTGCATGCGTAACCCATAGCCACCAAATGATTTCTCTTTAAGCCTTCTTGCTCTCTTGTGGTAGCTTATCTGATGGCTCTACGGTAAGAGGGGTTGCTTTGCCTAGGCAGCTGCTGAGCAATGTAACCGAATGGGCAAACAGCACCTCCAGTGGCTCTCGGTTTTCCCCTCAGATGGCTCTCCTCCTCAGCAGCATGGTGTCCGTTATTGTGTATCGCCTGTCAGTCTTTGCCACTTTTGCCAGCTTCATGGAGAGTGAGGCCACCCTGCAGAATGTAAAGAGCTTCTTCACCCCCCAGCTGGCCACCAATCTCTCTGGATCATGTCTGAACTGCATCGTCATCTTGATCTTGAACTTTTTTTATGAGAAGATATCTGCCTGGATTACAAAAATGGGTAAGCTGGCCAAATTATGAGAGTGATGTAAACAAAGGTTTCAGACAACACTGCTCATCCATCTTCGGACCCCCCCACCACCACTCACAGGGAATTGGCATCTGAAGAGCACAATTTTTCAGGCTGCTTTGTTCTCTGAATAGATCCACACTTGATTTTGATGAATTCCTTAAGATCCACACTCAGTCATTTCACAATGGAGGGAAAGCCTCTAAAAAGACTCCAGGACTCCTTGGGCCACTTTGAGGGCTCTTATCTCAGCATCCCCAAGGCACTAAAACCATGGGATGATCTGGTTTTACATGTTATGTTTCTGGAAGGTATTTGTTTCTGGAAATCATTCTGAGTTAGAAAAAAAATAACAGAAACAAACCGCTCCAGTTCCTCCTGAACATGGTGCCTCTCTGTCTAGACGGCATCTGTTACAACCTAGATTATGTTCTTGCTTAAGTTTTCAAATCTTTCCTGAAATGGAAAGTGGTAGGACCATGGGTAACACAAGGGCCTGAGCAAGTAATACTGCTAAGAGCACATGTGCTTCTGTTGCTATCTTGGACACGTTAGAGATAGACAAGGCTATCCCCTTAGCTAGCAGTCAAGGGCATCCCCTCTCATGGCTCCACACAGAGCTAGGCACCAGGCAAGCACTGCTTCGGAACAGCCCTTGTATCATCTTCAAATCTTGAGTTCTCATTCAAGTCTACTTTTTGGGGGGACAAGAGTGAATGAATCCAGCAGATAGAGTCTCTGAAAGACACCATCAAGTCATGGCTTTCTTCAGTGAAAACTATCCCTGAGCTCCTCTCTGAGATGTTTTTAATAAATTTAACCTAGCTTCACCAAAATGGAAGTTTTGTGTGTTCTTAGACTATTTTGTTCTACTCCTGAAAGTGTCATGGGAATGTCTAGGTCAGGTGTCCTACTAGGAAATTGCCCATTCATGAAAGAAAGCGTGTTCCCTTACTCTTTGCACTCCTCACAATGCTCCACCTGGCTTTGAAGAGAAGTTAATACTTTCTTATCTTTAGAACTTGTTAAATTACAAACCATGACTGCATTTTAAATCAGGAAAGAGAAAGCACGTATTATCTCTGCCAGCATTTGTAGGCACAGTTTAGTTCAAGAGAAGACAAGCACAATGGAATTAGAAACCATCTTAGCCCTTGGCACAAGCTTAGCTGGTTTACACCAACTTGACAATGGGCGAAGGAGAGAGAAGTAAGATGGGATTTTTGTGTTGTCTAACAGTGATGGCGAGGGGCACTTCCCATCTTGGGATTCAAGCTCCACATTCAGACTCTCTTACACATAGAGAAATCCCATCATTGGAATGTAGTGACTGCTTCCTAGACTCGCCCAGCCGTGGGATCAAGACAACATGACCAATAGGAAGCCAGCACAAGCACACAGCTCCTCAACATTGGTCACCTGAGGTCTTGAAATGGCATGCCTAGGTAGCCACTTGTAAGTACAGCTTTCAGGGAAAGAGCGTTTACCCTTGGTTTCTATTGGCAGAGATCCCTCGAACTTACCAGGAGTATGAGAGCAGCCTCACTCTGAAGATGTTTCTCTTCCAGTTTGTGAATTATTACTCAGCCTGCTTTTACGTGGCCTTCTTTAAAGGGAAGTTTGTGGGCTACCCTGGGAAGTACACATACATATTTAACTTATGGAGAAGTGAAGAGGTAAGGATTCCCTTCCAGCTCAGATCTATGTTCCCAGATAATTAAGACATGCCTTTCTCCCTTAGCACTAGCTCAGACATTGTCAAGGAGTAGAAGTCCAGACATTGGCTCCCCCCTCTGATCAGTCTTATCGTTTGTTAGATCTTCTAGTTTCCTGTGAGCAAGAATTTTTATGGGGCCTGTCTTGTTGTTTCCTGTTGCTATGATAAAATACCCTGGAAAATGCAACTTACAGGAGAAAGGACTTACTTCCTCTCAAGCATATAGTACGTCATGGCAGGAAAGTCAAGGAGCAGGAACTTGAGGCAGCTGTTTATATGGCATCCACAGTCAGGAATCAGAGAGCGATGTCTGCCTGTGGATGCTCAACCCCTTTCTCCACTTACACAGTCCAGGATCCCATCTAGGGAATGGTGCCACCCACCTTGGGCAGGTTTTCCCACTTCAATTACTCTAATAGGAACGGTCCTCCATATACGTGTGCACAGGCTCATTACCCATATGATTGTACTACATTCTAACAGGATGATAATTAACACTAACCATCAAAGAGCCTATGGCCTGGCAGTAAAATATAGAGTAAGGGGAGCAGAGCTTTTATTGTTGAAAGCATCCTGTAAAGGGTAAGGAGTCACGAAAGGGCTCTTCCATGGCCTGTTAGACATGACCAATGGTTTTCAAACTGATCACATGAAAATTATACCACCTTTTAGTCCTAGCCCAGACATCAGGATTCATAATCTAAGACTCAGAAGTCTGTATTTCCATTGCAGTCCACAAATGGGTGTGATGGTGCTACCCAGGTACGAGTGCAACTGAATGGCTCCTGAATCCCATCATTGCCTCTCCCGACCATATTGTAACCCTTAGTATACCTTTCTGATATTCTAGATGGTGCAAAATTCTGTTTCTCCTCCTCTATCTCTGTTTTCTCCTCTCTTGTCTCTGAACAGTGTGATCCTGCAGGTTGTCTGGTAGAACTGACAACCCAGCTAACCATCATCATGATTGGGAAACAGCTTTTTGGAAACATCCATGAAGCCTGTCAACCGTACGTATGCCTTACACTTTGCATGTTTGATTTAAATAGCAATGTAAGAAGCTGGGTGTGTATATATATATATATATATATATACATATATATACATATATATATTACTGCCGTTGTATCTTTGTCAAAAAATGTCTACGCAAACAGGACCAATTTATGTTTGACAAACAGGCCTCTGGTAATAGAGGCTTTTGTTGTATTTATTTAATTGCATGGCCATCCAAGTTTTACTTCCAGGCCAGGCAGTGTCACATGCCTTTAATCACAGCACTTGGGAGGCAGAGACAGGCAGATCCCTGAGTTCAAGGTCAGCCTAGTCTACAAAGTGAGTTCCAGGATAGCCCTGCTACACAGAGAAAGCTTGTCTCAAAAACAAACAATAATAACAACAAAGCTTTTCTTTCTTAGTTTTATTTTCAACTGACAAATAACTCTTATGTATACTCACTTGAATGTACATATTTACTGACCACAATGTGATGTTTCAGTTCAGACTTTTTTGTGTGTTTTTGAGATAGGGTATCCCCATGTAGCTCTGGCTGGTCTGGAACTCATATGACTTACAGAGATCCGTCAGCCTCTGCTTCCTGCAGTGTTGGGATTAAAAGCATGAGCCTCACACCTGTACTGCTTTTAACTGAATTATTTCCGCTGTTGAGTGCAGTTGTAAAGGGAGTTAATAAATTAGATCCTCCGGTAGGATAACATTTGTGTTAATTCTTTGAGAATTTCATGCACGCGTATGCTGTACTTGAATCCCACTCAGTGCCCTCTTCCTCCTAACCTCTCCATCCACTCCTCTCCATCTCCCCATTACTTCCCACTTTCTGGTCTTTCACTTTCTTTTGCTGTGGTCCACGGAGTTCAGTTCACACTGTGTATGTACACACGGCTGCACAGCCACCCACGGAGGCTGGTCAACCTACGAGGGGCCACAGCTTTAAAGAAAGCGGACTCTCCCTCTCCCAGAAGCCATCAGCTTTCAATAGCTACTCATCCCATTGGTGGGGGGCTCGCCACCCCCTGCCGCCAAAAGAACCCACACTTCTCTGTGCTGGAATGTCGAGCGTCTCATTCTTGCATGCATGTCCGTGAGTACAGCGGCCCTGTCGCGTTTGGAAGACACGGTGTCTCCCTCGCCCAGTGCTTCTAACCTCTGGTGCTTACATTCGTTCTGTCCCCTCTTCTGAGACAGTGCCTGAGCTTTGGGACGTCACATATAATTGTTACTGTTACTAAAAGTTGAACCTTTTGGTTTTTGTTTTTTAATCCTTGTGTTATGTTGTGTAGTTGTAGAAATGTTAGAGAATTTAGGTCATTTGATGAGGGAGGGATTGCTCCCTCATCCAAAAGGACAATAATGAACATATTATATATTTTATATATAACATGAAATATATACATATGTATATATTCACGCACAAACTAAAATACCAGCTTACATCACACACAGAGGAACATTTCCATCAATGAGAACAGAAAGGATAAAAAAAGCCTCAGTGGGCATGGGAGGAAGGGAGGGAAAGGGAGAGGGACCTGGGATTGACATGTGAAGCAACCTTGCTTCTAATTTAAATTTAAATTTAAAAAGAAAAAGGAAAAAAGAAGAGGAAAAAAAGCCTCAGCTTGTGTTGGGGGTTGGCACTCTGTAAGAAACAGTATGAATATGAAGCCAGGGGCTGGGTTTATTTCCTATTCATTATATAAAGTTGGAAGCATATTAACGGAGAGAAATAGTGGGTTTCTGGATTGGGAGGTACAACATAGAAACACTGTCCATTACCCGACACATGCACATACTTTTATTTCAGTGAATACATGGGTGTGTTTGTCTGCACAGATGTTATGGGAGGTCAAGCAACTAGAGAATAAAGACAGAGGAGTTGCTCCACTCGATTTTAAACGATAAAACTTCACTAATGACGATAATACGGGATTGGAGACAGACTGGTGCTATAGATAATGGAGGGAAATGAAGACGTCCAAATCTGTGATCTATACAAACATGGCTAGTTTATCTTTGGCCTGGCTGGAAAAAAAAAAAACAACAACCCCCCCTCACCAAAACAGTAAGCTTGCATTTTAGGAAATGGGCGAAAAAAATCAGACATCCATACACAAAAATATAAAACTTGGGACCAACGTCAGTTATTCAAAAATAGCTCCAAATAGATCACAGGTAACAAAGCTCTCGCGAGTGGAGCAGAGGTGATAGAAACAGAAAGCCTGCAGTCCCCAAGGGAAGGCGCTCACTGAAGAAAGGCTGGGGTTCAAAAGCGCCCCACCCCACCCCTGTCTGCCTGCCCTCCCATCTCTTTTGATTTTTTGTTCTCTTTGTGTTTCCATTTGGATCTAAGCTATATGTAAATGATTCTTCTAGTCAGTCCACCATTGCTGCAGCTGCCCGTCTATCTGCTGATCTGTTTGCATTTATAAACTCTGTCTTTTGGGGGGGAGGGACTTGTTCTTCACTTGCCTAGTTCATTGGCGTGAAAGGAGAGCTCTCTGGCTGTGTGTGACTCCTTTGCAGCCGTGGGCGTGTCCATGTAGTCGGATGCCTCCCCTACGTGGCAACTTCTCTTATTTGCAGTAACGCTTCAAAACCTTTAGCTACCGACTCTTCTTTGTTTTCTTCTTCTTTGAGTACATGTGCAGAGAATATGTTGTCCTACCACAAATCTTATCTTTTTCTTTTTTAATAATCTCATGCCTTGATTGAGCGGAGGCATCTCCATGTTTCCATTTGCACTGCAGGATAAAAAGATGCATTCTTAGAGTCACCACGAGGGGGTGCTAGGCCACCACCTCTCTATTCTGAATCCCAAACCTCCCTGCAGAATCACTCTGGTTGGGAGGCACTGCTTTAAATGCATAAAAATGCGGACTTTGAAAGTCAGACCGAGCATCCTGATATTATTTGATCTCCAATCTTTGGTAGATTCTGGTTTCTTTTTTTCAGAAGTCTATGAATGTGTTTGTTTGTTTTTTCTTCCACAGACACATTCTGTTTTATAACCTCAGTGCTTTGAATTTCATTTATTTATTTTTACTCATGCTATTCACTTGAATATGATCATGCACTTTCTCACTTCAGTTTTGATTCCAAGTGTCTTTACACCAGTGAGGAATCTACCTCTATCGTGTATGCTTCACCCAGCCTGAGCTAACTCAATTCCATGGCTGATTATCTCTTAGAAGTAGATTCAGAAGGGATTTTATACCAGATGCTATTGTGTTTGACATTAAATATACCAGCACATCTATTATATTAGATGATTTGCTAGCCAAAAATAAAACAATTATTCCTTGTCTCAATTCAGCCCTACCATAATCTACCTTATATGGTACGGAAATTGGCTGGCCAGTGGTTTGTAGCATTATTGCATTTACTTAGATAAGCCTCTGCTTTTCCTCGCAAGTATATTTTCTGTTATACTCGGCTTCTCAATTCTACAAGTGTCTTCTGAGCATTGCAGAGTACGGGCATTGTCCATTGCCCTGACCACTGCATGCTCTATCAACCTGCCTGGCTCCTAGTGTGCTAGACTAAGGTGCTTAGCCTCTCTTTCTGACAGTTTCCAGACTTGGCTTACTGGCTTTCTTACTTCTTTCTTCAAGTGTCAACCTTTATCGTTTCTAACAGCTTAATTTTTAATTGGTGGAGACGCCGAAGATCCCGAACCAACTCTGAGAAATTATACAGTCGCTGGGAGCAAGATAATGACCTTCAGGTTTTTGGACAACTTGGGCTGTTCTACGAGTACTTGGAAACAGGTAATTTCCAATCATGATTTCCGAGGCAGCAATAACAGTAATAAAATGGATAGCTTTCGTCTCTTGCAATTCTCTCTGTTTCATATATAGCAGATGTTTGAATTACCGAATGAGAGCAATGGATAAACGGATGGATAGGTGATGGGTACATTTAGACAGATGGCATGGATAGATGATGATAGATATATGAATAGTGGCAGATGGGTTGGTGGATGGATAGGTGGGTTATTCATGTGTAGATGCATGGTGGATAGGTAGATGGATGGATAGGCATATAAATGAATAGACACACATATGGAGGAAAGAAAGATAGATGAATGTATTGACGTATGAATAGTAGGTGAATGTACATACAGACGGCAGGAATATGTGTAGAGGGATAGCAGAGGGATAGGAGAATATATATGGATGTATACTGGTGGACGATAGATGAATGGATGGATGGATGGTGGTCAGATAGATGGATAGATGGATAGATGGAGAAAAAGGTTTAGTTTTCCTTCATCCCAGTTACTGAACAGAGAAGAAACACTGAGGTGAGATGTTAGAGAACCAGTCCTCAGGCTGTTTGTTTGATCTGCCAAGGGCATTTCTGCTCACCAATATCCCCTGCTTTAGTGGAACTATAGGGGGCAGTCTATGCGCTTAGTATCAAAATGCTGGTGTAACAAAGGGGATGATGTGAAAACTACTAAGTGATTAATATTTATTAGGCATGCTATATATTTTATATCAAAATCTGCCAATGTGATAAAAACATTTTTATGCTTCAAGATAAACCAGTGTTACCCTAGTTTACTTTATACTGTACGGCATTAGTTGGGTAATACTGTGCACATTGCTGTATAGAGAGATGGGGATTCTTGTTTCATACAGCTCAGTATGCAATTAGGTAGTTCTTGCTTTATAGGGTGATGATGGCGTGGTGTCTTTTCTCACTGTGGGCATTATGAATAACTGTATATACACAGACAGGGAAGGATAGTGCTGACACAGAGATGTGAAATACCATTTACACCAAAATTAGCTTCTGTGTCATGAGAGCCAACCAAGACTTAGTTTATATTGAAAACTGTGACAGATGCTCCCAGTCATGAGATAATGATGCAGTGTGCCCATTGGCTGACTGTGTTTGTCTTTGGTGTTGAAGATGCTGAAATTCAATAGATTAATTAGTGTTTCAGATGAAGATCTGAGACTCCCACCTTGAAACCCGGGTTGCCTCTCCCTCAGAGTAATTATAGGTCCCTTAGGAAGAGCGCAGAATGGATCAGTGTTGCTTGTGTGCTTCATAACGAGGCAGGTGAAAGGAGGAGAGGGTACAAGCGGCAGGGGCGATGTGGAATGGCCCTTTGTGGCCCCGGTAATGGTGAGTGACCTGTGTCTCCCCAGTCATCCAGTTTGGGTTTGTCACGCTGTTTGTGGCCTCCTTCCCTTTGGCGCCCCTGTTCGCTCTCATAAACAACATTATGGAGATCCGAGTGGACGCCTGGAAGCTGACAACTCAGTACAGGAGGCCTGTGGCTGCCAAAGCCCACTCCATAGGTGTCTGGCAGGACATTCTCTATGGGATGGCCATCGTGTCTGTTGCAAGTAATGTAAGTGCCCCTGTCCATGGGAGGGCTTTGCCTCTTTTTGTTTGTTTGTTTGTTTGTTTCTGTTGGGGTGGCTCAACCCTATTCCTCACCAGTTTCATCAGAGTGATGACTTGTAAGGACAAGCAAACCCAAAACTTTATTTTTTGAGCAAGAACAATAGAAAGGAAATAGTATTTTATCATTGGAATTTCATGATGTTGTTTTACAGACTGTGCTAATCTAGGCAGAAAATCGGTGACAGTGTAACAGGTTTGAACAACAGTATCAAAGATTGATTATACACAAATATATGTTATATGAAGTACATAAGCTTACTTATTTCTACTTACAAAATGATTTTAAGAACTAAATTTCACAAACACTAATATTTTAGCCTTCATTTCCATCTAAAATTATGTTTCATCAACTGAAGCTTTTACTGAGATCATCAGAAGGAGATTTGACAGCATAATATTGTGATTTACTTTAGAGAGTTTTATGGAAAGGACACTTGGCTGAAATTGTAGAGTTTAAACACAGTGGCAACATGAAAACGGGTGGTGTGCAGCACAGTTCCAGAAAACTCCACGGCTGGTAACACTCTTTAAACCTAAGCATGTGACTTCAGCCACCAAAGGAAAGCTCAGAGACGCAACGTGTGAACGGAAGCAATAAAAACATGGAAGTGGGTTTGGTTTGCCTGCACGTCAGACTTCTGACTCTGGGCTGGGCTCATCATCCTTCTCTCCCTTTGTCCATCAGGCTTTCATTGTCGCGTTCACATCTGACATCATCCCACGGTTAGTTTACTTCTATGCCTACTCAAAGAATTCCACGGAGCCTCTGAGTGGATATGTCAATAACAGCCTGTCAGTGTTCCTGATAGCTGACTTCCCCAACCACACAGCGCCCTTGGGGAAGAGAGACTTCACCACTTGCAGGTCTCCTTCTGTCTTGGTTTTAGCACTGTACTTTTAATGTCTTTCTTAAATTATCATTTCCCTAATGCTTGTCTTACAGTGTAGAAGGTTTACTTGAGACAACTCATTTCCCCGGTTGATGCCATGCCTCATTTCTAGAGTTTGTATGTTGTATGGCATTACAGACTATCCAAAGGAAGGAATTGTGAGTGGGGGTCATGTTGTTCCTAAATAGTTTCTTGGTTTTGAATTCTTTTTGAAAATGTTGCTCACTAACTGGGACAAACTCCCTGGACTTGAGCCATAACATCCCTCAGTCTGTGTGGTAAATTAAGTCAATTATCCCATTCATCCTCAGAAACCATACCCAGAAATAGAGAAATAGCAATGTAACGATGGGACCAGTTCATCAGCCATCATTCATTTCAGTTTAAAGGTTTTCTTCAGTATAGAATGTATGAGTGGGACTTGTGAAATGTTATTACCACACTCAGTGCAGCATAATCTGTGGGAACCTTCATACCATAGAATATGAAAACAGTAGTCAGTAAGTAGGTGGATAGATAATAGAGATACTATAGATAGATCACTGATGGAGATAGGCAGGTGGATGGGTGGATGGATGGATGGGTAGATAGATGGGTAGATACATACATACATACATATATACATGATATATATATATATATATAGATGGTATAAATAGATGACAGAGATAGATGATAAAGATGGATTGATAGAAATATACAGATAATAGACAAAAACAGTAAAGATAGATGTGGATATATATATATATAGAAGGATGATAGAGATATATGATAAAGATAGATTGATAAATGATAGAGATAAATGGGTAAATGGTATTGATATTTATTAAAGATATGTATTCCTAGGTAGATAAATAGATTGATAGGTAGAGATAATCTATGATAGATAATACATATAGATAGTAGTTCATAAGTAGATAGTAGATAACAGACAGACTGATAAACATACGTACACATATGTACACACACAGCCTTTAATCTTTAACCTCACACTAACTTCTCCCTTGAGGATTCCAGCATAGAGCAAGAAAACCATTTCTGGACAATAAGACAAAAACACTGATCTGTGGCACATTTGCATGCAAAGGAATCATGGCAGAGTATGTAAAACTGAGATCTCTGTGTCGGATTTCTTGGTTTAACCACTTTCTAAAAGCTGGGATGAATTTCTGAAGAACATCCATCTAGTGAGTTTGTAGAAAGGAATAATATGAAAGTCTGAGCACAAGAAGAGTCCAGAAAGCGAACATTGACTTGTCAGTATATCTAAAAGGAAGCAGTCTCTGCAAAACAGAAGTGGTCCACATAGCAAGTTGGATGGATCAGATGGGAGGAGGTCTTCAATGAAATGCCATGGACGCTTGGTCTCTCATGGAGAAATTCCGCTAGACCAAGGAAGTTTCTCTGGTTTATCTCCTATTAGGGAGATAATATGGATAAGTAGCCCAAGCCTGGAGCTGTGAGTACAGAAATAGGTTTAACATTATCAGTTACTTTCCTGTGACATGGCTTTGTACTCAGTTTCCTAAGGGAAATAATAAAAGTTTACTCAAGTTCTCTTTATTCAACTCATCACAAATATCTATCATCTATCTGTCATATGTGTGGATCATATATCTACCTACCTATTCATCTATCACACATTATTTATCTCTCATCTATATTCATGCCTATCTGTTTATCTACCTATCATCCATCATCTATCATCTGTGTCTATCATAGATCATCTATGTCTCCATCTGCCTACCTGTCCATCATCTATCATATCTATTGGCCATAGATCTGTCTTTATGCCTACTTATGTTCATTGTTGTTCCTTCTGTTTGTTTTGTAGGTACAGAGATTACAGGAACCCTCCCGATCATGAGAACAAGTATGTCCATAACATGCAGTTCTGGCATGTCCTTGCTGCCAAGATGACCTTCATCATAGTAATGGAAGTAAGCTGACCAGGACTCTTCCCCATGTCTTTCGTCTCCCCCAGCCCTTTTGCCATTCCCCTAAGCAGCTGCTTCTAAACACACCTGTCATTGGGAGGTCAGATTCCTCTCCTTTCTTTTGAAGGAATCATTTGTCCTCATAAGTTGCAACTTCTCTAAGGTGCCTCGTAGCAGTAAGCAGGGCATCAGTCTCATAAGTTGCAACGTCTCCTTGGGAGCTTGTTACTCATTTACAATTGGTAAAAACACCTTGGCAACAGAAAAGGAAAGGCAATGCATGGCAAGGTCAGGAAGGTTGATTTGTAGAACTCCTGTTCCAAAGACTGTGCTCCAGAACACCCTCACCAACTAGCCTCACTTTTTACCTCTTACAAAAGAAACTCATATTCATCAAAATATGTCATCAGCTGGAGGCTGATGCACAGTTAGCTTCTGTGCATCAGTCCTAAACCTCCATCCTGTCCACTGCAGGACACTCCTTCCATGTGCAGTATTTGGAGAGAAAGTTCACAAGAAAATATAACTCCCACAGAGGAAGAATTGATGAATCCATTAAATAGGAACAGAGAAAACAATAAGATGGGGGTCTCCCTGTGGGTAAGCCCAAGTACAACACAGGTGCCACCTGAGCACGCACTGTTCAATCGGGGTTTCTTGGACTAATTATTGCGATCCAGGCAGTGCATGGGTGTTTAAAACCAAATAGTTCTCTGTAGCTAACATAGGCAAGCCTTACACATATCTTGCTAGCTTCAAATCCTGATCTCAGGAGGCAAATACTATCAACTTTGAAACAATATCCAAACAGACTTAGATTTTTAGTGTTTAGCTGTAATTGTTGACCTCCTACAATGACATGTCACACACAGGTGCATACTTGACGCTGTCTCCATTTATATACCATCATCTTCCTCCTATTCCTCAAGATAATTATAACGTATGCATGTATATGTATACTTGATTTATTGAGTCCCATAATTCCTCTCCTGAAGTACAAAATCTCAAAAAGCAATTGTTTGGTGAGTTAGTAGCCATGTGTCCTTGACCTGATACTGTTTGAGTTAATCAGTAGCCTTCTTCATCCCCTTTGGAGTGACTGTTGGCCAAAATCGCTACAGAATTGCCAAAGGAACACTTCATAACCTGCTGGTACTTGTTTTACATGCTAAATAATAGAGTTGTTGATGTTTAATCACTCTCAGCACTGAAATGGTGTATTCCTCAAGGTTTCACCTAGAAGTTTAGTCAAGGTTCATTCATATACTATGACTTTGTAAATATTAGTAACGTTTGTTTCATGAAACACGCTGCAAAAACTTTTCTTTGCTTAGGGTTATGCTCTTCCAACTCCTGCTCTTTCTTACCTCTCTCTCCCCTTCTTCCCCTCCACTCCCTCAGATTTTAATTCTTTTAAAATTTATTTCACATTTCCCACAACAGGTCTAGATCACTCTTTGAGCATTGCCCTGGGGTTTACTACCTAATTTTGAGGTTCATCATTCAGGAACACTCTGAAGAGAAATTATAGGTGATTTGCTTTTGAAACCTTGAATACTGAAAAATTACCAACAAATATGGTAATCATTTGGTCCGAAATTAAAAGTCTGAAGCCGTTGTCATTAGTTTTTTTTTAACCTTAGTTTAGGTAATCTTTAAAAACATTTAAGACATTGCTCCATTTCTGTCCTGCTTCTAATGCTGTTATAAAGGACAGGGTCATGCAGTCTTCTTCGTTAATGACCTTAAGATGAACAAATGTTGAGTGTTCCCTCACCAGCTCTGCCAGTCTGAAACCTCACAAGCAAGCAAGGTATTTGCAACTGGATAGCACAGTTGTTCCAAATGCTCACTGGGGCCCCTAATTCTGAAATCACACCCTTAAGTTCGGGGGAAGGGCAAAAACGGCCTGCCTCTGTGACTTCCTTTTCAAACGTCCCCGTCCCCTTCCTCTGTTGTTTCTCTTCTATAATGTCTGTCCTGCTCCAAACTTCAGGGATCTTATTTTCTCACTTGTAAAGAGCTCGAGTCATACTTTTGCTCTCTTCATTAGCTTTTTTCCTCTTGGTTCCAGTTTGTTTTGCTCTTTCTCTTTCTTGTTAGACATTTTGCTGCGTAGTAGACAGTATTGTATGTTCAAGAATCAGGGGGTTAAAGAGATAAGGTTATAAGCTTAAGGTACAAAGGTGTGAGCCCACCTCTCGTTAGAAATACACAAAAGTTCAGTCTGCAGTTCCCTATTTCAGATGGGTTGGTGCAGAAAAGAGTTTCAGTATAAAGCAGCACTGGGTTTTGTTTCTGTTTGCTTTGTTTTTAATAGAGGGGTCTGGCAAGTTGTCTCAGTGGGTAAGGGTGCTTGCCTTCAATCCTAACAATTCAAGTTGGATTTCCAGAACCCATATGATAGAATGAGAGAACTAGTTTCCCTAAGTTCCCTCAATGCATCATTCACATACCCACATAAATTAATCAACAACTAATTTTAGAACTATAAGGAAAATCACCCAAGAAATACATTAAAGCACACCCAAGAGCATGGTGTCAGCGTCTCCAGATTCTGTCAGTGTTTATTAAGATGTCCTTCTTATATTTATTTAACTTAGTTTGTATGTGTGTGTGTGTGTGTGTGTGTGTGTGTGTGTGTGTTTTGCCTTCATGTATGTATAACGCGTTAATGCAGTGCTCACATAGGTCAGAAGATGGTGTCAGATTCCTTGAAGCCAAGGGTTACATTTGTTAGCTACTCTGTACTAGGAATTGAACCCAGGTCCTTTGGAAGAGCAGCTGGTGCTCTTAACCTCTGACTCACAACCCAGCCCCCTATTAGGATGTCTTAACATATATTTTAAGTACACAAGTAAAAAGAAAGAAAGACACCCAGTGAAAGAAGAAGATCCTACCTAAGTAGGTATGGGCTCCACATGGGAGACACAACTGAGCGTTTGGCATTAACCACAATGGTAATCCCAGCAGCTCTGAGGTTCACTCTCCACAACTTACTAAGAAACTTTTTTCTTTACTTTTGGTACCTGAGATTTTTAGAGAACAGTTCTGAAGGAGGTACGTTAGGTGGGATTAGGAGCCACTAGGAATGTGAAAGGGTTTCCTGCTGAGACCCCTAACTGTATGTTCACAACTGAAAAGGGAAAGAAGGCTTTAGTGTTGATGATCATGTGGGGCTCTGTTCTCAGGGCCTTCTTTCCCTCCCTGGGTCCCCAGTTTTGCTCTCTCTTTCCCGTCCACATTCAGTATTCTGAAATTCACATTTTTGAAATGTTGCTTTCAGTATGTTCCCCACCTCCAGTCAAAGCCCCAGTGCCCACAGCTTTCTGCTACAGAAATAAAAACTCCTCACATAGTTCCTAAACGTCCTACAGCTTCTTGTAGAAATGCCAAACTGATGCTCTTGTTTTCAATTCTACACTACACTACCATCCTCAGAAGGCCTGGCTGCCTTCATTCCTGAAAACATTCCAAGAATCTAAAACAAGGTGGCCAGTCTGCTTTAAGTTTCAATTTCACACTAAATCTCCAATTACGTGTTCCTCATCTAAGAAAATTAGGACTATTTTAGAGATGTTTTTACCAGATTCTTAGGGCAGGCTTTCCTGATGCCCACGTTCCATTTCTCTAGTTGCTTATTTAAATACATGTCTAATTAATTTGATTGTATGTGTGAAAATTATAGGATGCACACACGTGCAGATGCACACGCACGCGCACTCTCATAGCAGCGTACTTGATTCCACTTAGGGCTTCCTGTGTTCGACAGAGTTTGTTAGATGCTCGAGATGACCTCTAAGGACTCCTTGCTGAATTCCTGATGCTCCTAACATTGTTTCCTTTATGGCTCTTTCAGCACATTGTGTTTCTGTTTAAATTTTTATTGGCCTGGATGATACCAGATGTTCCAAAGGACGTCGTAGAGAAAATCAAACGAGAAAAGCTAATGACTGTCAAAATTATTCATGACTTCGAGCTCAACAAGTTGAAAGAAAACTTGGATTTTGAATATGGGAACATCATTAGGAGTGACCTAGAGGAAGACAGCAGATCCCTGAGGGACAAAACCATCATCTAATCCGCACAGAAGGCGAGAAGCTCTGTGCCTCTCTCTGTCCACTGTTGCCTCCGGGTTTCTGACTGGATGCTAGAATCCATATATCCATTTGTTTTTCTTTCTTTCCTTTATTTTTAACTCCAAGTCTTTATGCATATTGATAGAGGCTGGCATCAGAAGAGAACACAGGCGGGAACCATCCACTGGGCTGTCCCAGGGTGTGACTTGCGGGGTCCTGTAAACAGTTGCAGGAGGTGCTGGTGGATTCAGAATCTGGGAAATCATGGAGTGTTGCTACTTAGAGTGAAACCCTGGCCTGGGGGATGCTCTGTGACTTCCCAGGGCAACTGCACATCTCTACTGTCTCCTGTTGAGTGTCCCCCATCTCCCTCCCAACAAGAAACGGGTCATATCAAAAAGAGCTAGCAAAGAGACCCACCATTTCATAGAACATCTGCCATTGTAAAACTTACAAATGAAAAGACAATGTCAGATGTCTTGAGAAATTTCACCTATTGACAAATGCTGGTTAAAAATTACAGCAGGAGTGTGCTCTTGACAATGCAGGTGAAAGTTGGCTTCTGACAGAATACCAGATAGCCTTTCCTGGTAAAGGTAGGATCAAATTTTCCTTGAGACTAAAAGATGTTTCATCAGAGAATCAGAGACTTTTAAAGGTAGCATTTCTATTTTGTTGACTAACTTCAACCCCATGGTGTCAGGTGACTGCAAGTTTCCAAGTGAAAGTACTATGTGGAGCCAATGTGTCTACTTAGAAACTAAAGAATGCAAGACAGTGCATAGGCATTAACTTATTCAATGATAAAGTGAACTTTTACATTTTCTGAAATGCTGATTTTTGCATCATGAAGCCTTTTCGAGCTCTAGAAACTTGTATAAGTTGGGCACAAACCGTTTACAGAATGTGATCTCTTTGCTCTAAAGAAACTCCAAACCTTGTAATAAGTTTACAATCTTTTCATGGGCTACATCACCCCTACAATGCCCAGTGCCTTCTTTCTATCTATGCCTTTAACACATGAGAAATTGTCTAGGTGATTGTTAATTTGATATGGTAGAATATTTCAGACGTCAGTCTTAGAGAAACTGTCAGTGTTGTGAGCACAGAGTTTATCACCAAAAATAATCAACCAAGCGAGAAGGTGAAAATTCGGTGGAAGAAAAAAGTATATCTGTTGAAGTATCCCATCCACATTTATCCGATGTGGATATATAGCAATTCTTGTCATTGGTTCAGTTAATACAATATCACATATGTACCCATATGTAACCTATCACTAGAGTGGGAGATATGGTCTAACTGTAGAGTACTCAAATCTTTAGGTTTAAATAGAATTCAGCTACAAAAATATTTTTAAATCATATACATATAAAGAAACTTGATCACAAGATTTTTAAAAGCAGTGTTCTCTTAAAATAACAGAGTCCTACAGCATAGCTGATATTACAGTATTAACTAACTACTGATAGATACTAAGTATCTAAAATTAGGGATTATGGATTTTATAAAAATGACAGAAGAGTTAGCACATCACATTATTGGCAATATTGATTTGTTACATAGTAGGTAGATTACATGTTTGGGTCACTGAAACTGATTTCATAATTGAAAGATAGTTTCCTATGTGGAGATGGTGAACTTAAGAAAACCTGTCCTTTAGGGCATGATCAAGCCACAGCTGTGGTTCTTGTAAACTGTCAGATTATGCTGTCACCACGGTGCTCTTCACACGTAGCTCTCATTGTCTTCTTCACGGTGCTAATTTTTTTAAAATGGGCGAGGGAATTACAGTTTTTTTGGAAATACACTTCAGTTTTGTGACTTTAGAGTATTATGGAGCTAGACTGCCAGATAAGGACAGAGCTGACTTGAAAAGCTGCCATTACACTGCAGGTTCAAAACCAACTCAAGCTCTGAGTGTCTAAAGTAATTGAAGAAATTAACAAAACTGGAATTTCTTCTATGACAAGTGCTTCTTAGTATTTACCGGTGTTTTCACTTCATCTCTGCCTTGTAATTTTCCACTGAGCACTTTCCTCTTGTTTCATGTTTTACCCTGAGATGCTAGAGTCACCTTCTGGAAGGCCCGTTAGCTAAAATCAAGTGGAGTTTGTTTAGGAAGACTTGCCTCATTTCACCAGCACACTGGTTGCTGTGAGAACACTGAACTAAAAGCAACTGACCACAGTGTGGCTGTGATGATGTTTTTATTCTTTAGTCAAACAAGTAGTTTACTATTTTTCACTGATATTCCAGGGAACATTTGGGATCTTATGTGAAAATAAGATCTCTAGGTGCCAAAGACCCAAACCGCACAACTCGTTTCAAAGATCCTTTGCAATCATCATCTCCATTGTTTGTTTTCACACAGAAAGCAAAACACTTCAAATGACTGACATTAAGTGAAAGATGTCTTAATTGTGCAGCGTTTCTGGACGACTGGGTTTCACCCTTTTGTTGTTGTTGTTAAGCGGAAAGAGACAGCTGCTTCCTCTGGATTCTTTGGGGTACGGCTGGGGGTAGGAAGATGCAAATCTCTTCTAAGTGCTAATTGCTAAGGGTGAGAGAATATATCTGGAGAAACTTCAGGTTGACAGTTATTGTGCTTGCAAAGTGTGTTTGTAGGGTCAGGTACTGTGAACAATCATTGACCCTGCTCTCCAGTAATAATAATACTGGTCATTCAAAACTATAACCTATTGCTTTGGAGAAACCTCTCATAGTTATTATGTAATTGAATGATGCCATGAAGGAAAACATTGCATTGCCAGGCTTTGGACTCTGCCACAAAGAATCAATAGAACTATCGTGTTACTGTTCTTGCAATTTTAATCTACTTTTCTGTGTAGTAATTAAAGTATGTCAGTTATTTCAGCATTATGTAAAATTAATGACAATGTTTAAAACATAATGTATACTATGGTGTAATCTGTGTGAGATGCAGTTGCCCATTCCTCTAAATACGTCATTGGATACAGGATACAACTCTCCTGATAAAAGATGCTGTGGCCTGAGGTTAACTCAGAGTATACAAGCCTGAGGGTTCAGTTCTCATGGTGGGAAAGTTATGATGGCAGAGCACAAGGCAGCTGGTTACACTGCATCCACAATCAGGGGGCATAGATACTGGTTATCAGTTCACTCCTTTTTATTCAGCTGTGAACTCCAGCCTATAGTAGATGCCACCCTATTCAAGGAAGGCATCTTCCCTTCCAGGTAAACTTGTATAGAAATACCTCACAGAAAAACCCAGAAGTGTGTTTCTAGTAATGATTCTACACCCAGCCAAATTGACAGGATTAGCCACATCTCAGACCTCATAGATAAAGACTTCCTAGACAAACAAGCCTACTTACCTGGAACAGACTATAGACCAAATGCTGCCCAAAGCTTATTAAGGCTATTGACCACTCAAACAACATGTTTAGAAAACTAGATGTAGTTTGTTTCCATAAGGTGTTCTCTGTGATTTAAAATTAACAGTTTTTTCACTCACATTCTAAACATTCTAAACATCTGATCATATACAATTTCAAAAACCACACATAATAAGCTTCAAAGCACTAAAATCTAATGGTTCGAATCTCTTTGTCTATAGCAAAGACAAAATAGTAAAATTTATCCAAGAAAAATTAAACAAGTCTTGGAATACTTATGAGTCAGAAAGTAATGAAAACTCATATGATATTTTAAATTATGTATTTCCAAAAGTATTTCATAAGTTAATATTTATGAGACAAATTATTTTAATCTGGTGGGTCATTTTAATGGAAAATGTACTGCTATTTTAAAAGCATAGAAAAGCCATGGTTAGCATCCTAGAAACAGAATAAAACAATACAATGGAAAAGATACTGAAAGTAAGGAAAGCCAAGAGAAAAGGACACGGAGTCACTCCCCATCCTGGCAGCTTCCTGGAGTTCTGTCTTTACGAATCAGCAGTGACAGACCTCAGGTCCATCAATAATAGACTGGATTTACCCAGACTGTTGTAACCATGAAAAAAGGTAGATAAAAACAGACTTAATGATTCACTGTATTGTGTTATCTAAGGGTATCTTCATGCAGGTATATATTACACGTTGAGCACATTCTTGCCCCCCCAAAAACATTGTAAAAATATATTCTTTTATTTGTTTATACTTCATGAATTAATAAAATATGCGGTTTGTGAGAAAGAAAATAATCAACCCTAAATATGTAGAACCAGTAACTGTGAGAAGAAAGACAAGTGGAGGGAAATAAGCCCACTGTGTGGTGGATTTTCCTTGAGAAGAACTCGTGACTCCTAAGAGGAAAAGCAATGGACGAAAGAAAGCCACGCTTACCTGAGCTCCCAACAGATTTAGGGTGTGTTTGGAAGAAAAATGTAAGTATAGGATCCACTAAGGATCACATGTCATCATGAAATTCCTGATCCATCTCTGAAGACATGAAGTGTAAAGACCCAGAGAGACGGGAAATAAGAGGATGGAAAAAAACAAGCGAAATAGGAAAATAAGTAAAGTCAATCCCTGTAGAGAGAAGCTTTTTCCTTGCCAGCCACTTTGGTTTTTTCCCCACCAGTCGCCTGGGCTCTGCTGTGTTGTAGTCCCCAAATAACACACAAGACGCTGTATTAATTATGAAGCTGTTGGCCTTGCTTGTTTCTTACTGGCTAGCTCTGACTTAAGTAATTACCCCATAATTGTTAATCTAAGTATGTCTCTTACCGGACGGACATCTTACTTCCCTGGGAGGCTACATGATGACTCCCTGTTTTTCTCCTACCCAGAGTCCTCCTAGACTCCTAGTCCCACCTATCTTGCTTCCCTATTGGACAACAGTGCTTTATTAACATATACACAGGACTTCCCCATCATCTCCAATTTTCTGTCTAAATAAAAAGAAAGGTTTTAACTTTAACATAGTCAAATTATATATAACAGAACAGTTATCAAGTAAGAACACAGTTACAATATTTTGTCTATCAACATTTAGCAAGATTTAAAGAAAATATCATCTATCCCATCCTTGTGAGTCCAAAGTCCTATATGTGGCTTATCTTTTATCATAACTAAAAAAACTATGATTATAACTATCTGCCTTCAGCTCTATCAAAGACCACAGAAGGATAATAGATAAACACTAGGATTGACAGAGACATCTTGCTACCTGAACAGTCACCTGAAGTTCCTCTGTAATGTTGGGGCATACATCTTCAGCCCATAGGCCACAGTGTGTCTGGAAGACTTCTCAGCAAGGCAGGAAATTTCAAAGTGTCCATCTGCATTAGCAGTCTGTCAGTCATTTTTCTGTGTCCTGCAGAAAGTCTCATAGACTCTTCCATGAAGCAGGAGCCCTGAAGGACTATTTGAGTTCAGCAGTCACATTCCTGTGGGTCCTGCATGTCCAGTTTATACAGCATTAGTCAAGCAGTCCAGGCAAGAGCAGTTTCTTGCCCAAATGGCTAATCTTGCCATGTTGAAAGTAAACTCCATAACTGGTTTCTTCGATGCCCATTTTCCTCTCAGATGTAATTGGTGCTGCCAGGAGCAGACATTTCTCATTGTCAAGAAAAATCCTAAACAATTTTAAATGCCATTTTTGAAGGTCTTTGAAAGGTTTGAAGACTATCTATCTCAAATATATTTCTGTATATGTAGAAAATCTAACTTACCTAACTATAAGTTCTAACTATTATAAGTAACTATCTGTAGACTGTATTTAATTATGCATTACATTTTAAAAGATTAGTATAAACACAATACTTGATCAAGAGGAGAAATATACACATCACAATGACCTTGAATTTGTATCAATAAATGAGAAATCATACCCATACCATAATTCCCCTTTTTACCATTAAAAAGAGATTGGCTGTGGTCATTAGCCAATTATAAACAACCCCATTCAAATGAAAACAGATTTATAAACAATGTGGGGATTCAGATGTCGCTCATTCCAAACTGCTTCGTGCTGGAAGGGGGCGCTGTTCACACCATGGGGATCATGACACAATTCGGAAACCTGTATAAGTCCTTATTTTCGTGGTCTGTAAAGCTGTATCATCTTAGCTGTTTTAGATGTTGAATCACTTGGGCCATTGCTTCCGGGGGTCTTGGTTCATCAAACCACAGAAGCCTGGAAGGAATCCTCAGCTTTTCATTTTCTGTAGAATCATAAACAAAAACTTTTCCAAAGTAACATATCCTTATACTTAAATTTTGAAATCAAGGCATTTTCAAAAGATATAAGTTGAATTAATTCAGCAGCATTTATAATCAAGTGTACTTTAGTAGTTGTTCCTTCCTTAGCAATCAAAAAACTGAAAAACACAATAGCATACAGTATCCAGACTTTTTGTGTATTTTCCATCTTTACGTAGCTTATTTATTTATCTATTATTATTACTCTATTTCTTTTACTTTTATTTCTTTATTTATTTCTCTGAGACAGGATTTCTCTGGAAATCCTCCTGCCTCTGCCTCTGCCTCTGCAGCAAATCCTACCGGCTTGTGCCACCACAGCCGGCTTCTCTATTTACTACTACGATGTTTCTTTTTCTCTCTCAATCTTACGTATATTTTTAAACACACTGTAAACGTTTAGAGGTTTTTCTTTATCCAAGTCTGACTTTACTGTAAATCTTTATGTTTTTCTGGTCACCTGTCTTATCTGTTAAAGCCATGGCTGTTTAAACTGCAGTTTTTCCAAGATGGCGGGCATAAGCGTGATTCCAGCTCATTGCCTCAGTCTTTGCTGACATCCAGCAAAAGCTGCCAGCTTAGAGATGTGGCCACTGCCACTTCCAGCTGTATATACACACTTTTCAATTGTTAGCAGAGCCTCTTTAAAGAACCTTTCTTTCTTTCTTTTTTTTTTTTTTTTTTTGGTTGTGGTTTTTTGGTTTTTTTTGTTTGTTTTTTATGCTGAGTCAGGAAGATTCCCTTAAGCAAGCCGTGTGAGCCTTTGCTTGTTGCTAGCAAAACAGAGCCCACCTGAGAAAATGATGCCACCAAGAACCCATGCTTTTCTCCGTTCTTTTGTTTCTAAAATTCTTTTAAAGCTTTTGTCGTTCTACATAGAAATTCAATGATCCCACAGGACTTCTCCATCAAATCCCTATTCATATCATGCAAAGACAGGTATGAGGCAAGATGTAATGCAGAAAATTGGTATTCTGATATTAAAATGATCATCATAAGAATGTAACTGGAGGCTGGAGTGATGGCTCAGCGTTTAAGAGCACCAGTTGCTCTTCCAGAGGTCATAAGTTCCCAGCAACCACATGATGGCTCTCTAGTGGAATCTGATGCCTTCTTCTAGCATAAAGTTGTACATGCACCCATATACATAAAATAAATCTTTTTAAGAAAAACAATGAACAGTTTCAAATATGTGTCCAGCTAATAAAAACAGGCAGAAAGTCTATGAAAGAGATCCTTACAGAGTTAAATTGTAGGATTAGTGAACCCAGAGTTGACACAAGCTGTTAACTTGCTCTCAATGAGTGACAGAACACGTGGGGAGACGCAAAATCCAAGCAACGCCATCTATCTCCTTGACAGCTGACATGGCATCTGATAGTGGCAGGGCAGACATTCCTTCCAAGCCTTTGTAGGTTATTATTCAAAAGGGAATGCATCCTGGACCACAAGACAGACAAAATTAACCTCAAAAGACTGGTCAATCCAGAGTATATGTCTCACTGTAGCAAATTAAAGCATCTTTAACAAATGGTGCTGGCATAACTGGAGGCTGGCATGTAGAAGAATGCGGATCGATCCATGTCTATCGCCATGCACAAAACTTAAGTTCAAATGGATCACAGACCTCAACAACAATCCATCCACACTGAACTTCTCAGAAGAGAAAGTGGGTGGTACTCTTGA